TGCAGACGACACTAAGTTGGGTGGGAGAGTTGATCTGCTGGAGGGCAGCAAGGCTCTGCAGAGGGACCTGGACAGGCTGGATCGATGAGCTGAGGCCAGTGGTATGAGGTTCAATAAGGTCAGGCACTGAGTCCTGGCCTTGGGTCACAACAACCCCATTCCCTGCTACAGGCTTGGGGCAGAAAGACTGGAAAGCTTCTCAGCCAAAAAAGACCTAGGGGTCAACAGCAGATCCTGACCTGGGACATTGAGGGGTGTGTCCAGAGAAGGGCAATGGAGCTGATGAAGGGTCTGGAGAACAGGTCCTGTGAGGACAGCTGAAGGAGCTGGAAGTGTTTAGCCTGGAGAAAAAGGAGAAAAGGCTGTTCAGGAGTGACCTTATCCCTCTCTTTAAACTACCTGAGAGTGTAGCAGGTCAGCCTTTTCTCCCAGGCAATGAGCAACTGCAGAACAACTGGAGAACATAGCCTCAAGATGGGCTAGGGAAGGTGCAGGTTAGACATGAGAAAGAATTTTGTCACTGAGAGACTGGTTAAGCATTGAAACAAGCTAACCAGGGAGGTGGTGGTGTCACCATCCCAGGAAATGCTCAATAAAAGAGTAGTCATGCAATCTGGGACTATGGTTTTGTTGACATGGTGGTGATTAGTCAGAGGTTGGACTTAAAGGTCTTTTTCAATTTTAATAATTTTATTATTTGTAGGAAATTCAGTCTGAGGAATATACCTTTTAATGGGGCAATCCATGGACTTAGAGAAGGTAACAAATATATACCAACCTACACACCATGTGGAAAGGGAAGGACATCAGAAGTGTCATAAGCTTAAAAAGTAAGTTTATAAGTTTACATAAACCATGTTGTGTTCATTAAGTATTGTTGGCAAGGCAATACAAGCAACAAACTGAGTCACAGATTACTAACATTTATGTGGAGACACAGGTTTTCAGACAAAGATAGGCTCCTCAGTCCTGCATTTTTACAGGCTACTAAAAAAGTATCTACTACTAACTACATTGTACAGCATGACTTCCAGGATCGGACCATACAATTAAATAATCACAAAAAAATTTAAAATATAATGCTTAGCCCCTCTGGAAGCAGGAAAGGGTTGTAAAGCATTAAACAAACTGCCCAAGAAAGTGGTGGAGTCTTCCCCTCTGGAAGTGTTCAAAAAATGTGTGGATATGGCACTTGAGGAGGTGGTGTAATGGTGAACACGGTGGTGGTGCTGAGTTGGTGGCTGGACTCAAAGGACTTTTCCAACCTTAAAAATTCTCTGATTCGATGAGAAGAGCAAGGAGAATAAGAAAAAGCTCTTCAAAATAACTTAGCAGGTAGCAACATATAAGCATCTCTGGATCGCATCCTGTTTCCTGTAATTATCAACTAGATAATTATTATTTGCTATTAAAACTTAACCTCTACTAGTTAAATCTGCCTTGCCTGTTGCTATATGTCTTTTACTGAACAGATCCAGTCAATTCCAGATAATGAAGCTATCAACTCTCCATCACTCTTAAAAACAATCCCTCCTTCATTTGGAAGCAAACACTTGCCTCCATGCACACTGCAGAATTTGGTTTTGACTCTTTATCTCTAATGTATCATATTAGTTAGAATGCTTTTTTTGAGATGATCTTTTGTGCTCTGTTATGCATGTTTTCAGAACATAAAAAAGCATTTTAGTTCAACTTCACATCTGTGTTTCATTCAGCTTCTTTAGCCTTTGTAATACTACAAATGCAATAGCACATCAATATTCTTCACAGAGAATTCATAATGTATAGATTTAGTGGATATTTTCATCTAAGTTTCTGGGGACTGGGGGTTGGGAAGGAGTGGGCACTTTTTCAGAGCATGAACAGGACAAGTTTCTAAAGTGATGCACTGTTTCACAGGTTCATACCAAGTCAGTCACTTTTTTCCATATGCCTACTGGCAATCACATTTAATTTATACATGAAGAATGTTAACATAATCCCCCCTCCATGACTCAACCAACACCAAGAGTGAATCTCATCTGTTTCAGTATATCAAGAACCTCCATACTCACAGTGTAAAAAAAAAATTAAATGTGTATAATTTTCAGCTACCTGAAGGTCACCTTCTTTCTATTTACGAAGGTATTTGCATACTTTGAGATTTCTCACTTTCCCTTTTCTCCCTACACCAACTGCTTCCATTAAGAAGGATATCTAGAGCAATGGTAAGTTCCCGAAAAATCAGCAGTACTTTAAGCAAGGTAAAAGGTAAAGAATAATCTTCAAAAACAAGTATGAGATACCTCCTTCTTGGGACAAGGCTATAAAGATATCCTGCAGCAGATGACCATTTCCACAATAGACTAAAGACACCTGTTGAGGGAGAGGACAGATCTCTGCTATTTAGAAAATTATAAACAATTGTAATTTTGTACAAACAGGTCAATAAGTAATTCTACACACTTCAAATTATTTAGAGTAAACAAAACAGATTTATCTCTTAAATCTGATTTTCGTTTCACACAGTACTTGAAAGACTGGAAATGCCTTTTTGCTTATGCCAGTCAAAATTTCTTTTACAGGACTGTTTTTAAGCCAAATAGTAGAGGACAAGTTTGCTTGCTTCTTCTCTTAAGTATCCCTAAAAAATTCATAATGCTTTAGTATGAGTTTCTGCAGTGTAAAAATAGACACCCTGAGTTACAAACTCATACAAAATACATCAGTACTTTCAAAATTAATGTAACATCATTTCGGAAAGACAAAAATAGCAGTCAGCCAAATGACTGCACCCTAAACTGTCACATGGTTAGCTGAAGTTTTCTTAAACAAAGCAGCCTATTTAAGTCAAGTATATGATGACATGTTCTAACTGTATTACAGGAACAAAGGTACTCCATAATTAATACTGAAGCAAGTTCCTCACAATACTTGATCTACTCCCACTTCCCCAAGACAGAAGCACAAAACATGCATTGCACATAACCAGCAAGTATTATATGAAGGTTGCTTTTTTCTTCTGTCTTGCTTAACATTGTGGACTACTTTGTGGTGTAGGAAACAAGGAATACTTTTGAAATAAACTTCAGGGCTTTTTAAATACTAGGGATTTTGGTAAACTATCCCCATAAAAAATAATAATTGTGTGCGTAATCTAAAAATAAATAAAATAAATAAAAACTGATTTTACTTCTCTGGATTTTCCCATGTGCTTATCACATGTACCAGAAGTTAGATCAGCCCTTCACAGCATTTTGTCAAGGCACTTTATTGCATAATTTCAGGTTGAAGTGCTTTGATCTCACCTTGGAGGTTATTGCAGTGAACATGTATTACCTTTTTTAACTGCTATGGTCATTTCACAAACACATAACCAACCTGCTTTTCATTTTTGATGCTTGGTATTTTTGTCAAGGGAAGTGATAATTGTTTATATTTATTTAGGCTGAATCCATTGCCATATTACTTCACAAAAGTCAGCTTATCATTTCAACCATAAAGTCTGCACAGAAACACAAACAGGTATTTGCTAATGGAATACTCTGACAAACTTCAAACCTCTTCACAAAGTAATTTTTGTTAAACATTGTGGTTTTAAAAAAATATACTTTCATAGTGAAATTATTATTAGGGACTACAGCCCTTCTGTCCTGAAACTAAAAATAGAATTCCCCTGAAAATCAACTACAGAAGAGAGTGGTGGTCAAGCTATCACTATATTCTGTATTAAAGACAGGTAGTTTTCACAGACAGATGTTTTAACCAACATCAGGTTCAATAATAATGATCTGTTCTTTCTACCATAACATTGGGATCATTAGAAGATGTCTGCTATATTGTTGTATATCACCCCTGGAATTCCATATAAGTACAGCGCAGCTGTGAGCCATCAGACATTTCAACAGCCATTAAACTAAAGATAATTTATTCTTTCAGATAAAGTAGGTTGCTGTCATTGGTTTAGTAGGAGCTCTGACTGAAATTTCTCTTCTTGCTTCCCACCAAGCACAAATGCTCTGTATTTTGCATGTTGAATAGAACGGATGATAGATAAAGTTAGTGCTTTTATTTTAATCTCGAACTTTTTTCCCAAAACCTTGGACATAAAATTTATTTAAGATACCCTCTACTAGGTCATTAAAGCATATTAGTCACTGTCTTTTACGTTGGTGATCTTGGCCTGAAACCACAAGCACTCAGTCATACTAAAACCGTAGCTCCCTAGGACATCATCTCACGTCACCTGGCTTCCCTCTCAAGAGAGATAATCAGCACATCTCCGTAGACCCTGTACAGAACACGGAGTTACGTACTCTCTAGCACATGACGTTCATTAAAACGCAGTGCGAAAGGAAGGGGAGAGAACGTCTGACAGAGGACAAAAGAAACCTGCTTCGAGTGTGCTTTCAGTTCAGCCGCCGCCCGCTCAGCGCACGGCGCCAGCGCCGCACCCGGGCCCAGGCGGGCAGCGGCAGCGCTGGCCTGCGGGCTCGGCCGGGAACGCAGGGACCGCGCCGGCAGCGATTGAGAGTCACAGAAAGGGTCAGGCTACAAGAGACAAGGCCATTTGTCCAACCTGTCCGCTCAAGCAGAATCATCCAGGAGCATGTGGCACAGGCTTGTGTCTATACAGTTCTTGAGTATCTCCCGCGAGGGAGACTCCACAACCTCTCTGGGCAATCTCTTCCAGGGCTCGGTCACCTGCACGGTAAAGTTCTTCCTCATGGAAGTTCTTCAGGTGGAACTTCCTGTGCATGAGTTTGTGCCCACTGCCTTTTGCCCTATTGCTGGGCGCCACTGAGAAAAACCTGTCTCCGTCCTGTCGACACGCGCTTTTTAGATATTGAAAGAGCGTTCGCAACAGATCTAGAGACAACCTCAGCTCCTACTCCGCGGCCCCCGCACCATCCGCCCAGCCCCTGCTCGCCCTGTCCCCACCCCCTCACGGGAGCCTCATGGCGTCCGAGCCTGCACCGCGCTGGGCGGAGCCGCCGCAGGCCCGCCCGCCCCGCCCCGCGTTCCTCGCGGGCGCAGCGGGCGCCGAGCGCCGCCGCCCCGGCCTCTCTCGCCCCGCCTCGCCGCTCACGGTAAGCAGCGGTCGCGGACGAGGTGGGGCGGCGGAGCTTCTTGTGTGCGACTGCGCTGGGCGCTCAGGCCGGGGCCGCGGGCTGGTGGCGGCGGCGGCGGCGGCGGCGGCAGCAGCAGCAGCGGGTCTGCGCGTGTGCGGCGGCGGACCAGCCAGGAGCGGCGGGCGGCGGGGTGGGGCGTAGCGGGGAGGCCCGGGGAGGGTGCGGGGCGAAGGGCGCAGGCAGAGCCCGCAGGGGCACCGAGGGAGGGACGGAGGAAGGGGGAGCCCGCGGCGGCGCTGCTGCCCCGCTGCGGGGCAGGCGGCGTCCTGGCTCCTCCTCTGCGGCGGGGCGGAGGAGCCTTGCGGCCGGCGGCGGTGCCCGGCGTCCCCGGGAGGCTGCGCGGGGCCCTCTGAGCAGCGCCGGAGTTGGGGTGACCTGTGGGAAGAGGAGAGCCCGAAGGGCCTGGTTGTCCCGGGATGCAAGGGAGAATTTAATTTATTTCAGCAGATTTCACACGTACTTCCTCATCATAGCCCACTGAGCCTGGCAGTCCCTGCGGTCGCTAGAGAACTGGTGACAGCCTGACGGCCCCCGATGGGGAGTAAACCTGGCTCGGCCGAGGGGAGACCCCCCGGGCTGCTGCTCAAAAGCCATTTTATCCTCCCCTTTGTTTTTGTTAATTGCCGATGCCCTGGAGGTCCTCTGCCGCTGGGGCCTTTGTTTGAAGCTTCCGTGGCGGCTGTGGTTAAGCTGCTCAGGGCTTGCCGGGCTCGCTGCTGTCTCTTGCGGGAGCCCCGTCAGCAGAGGGGAGTTCAGCGTTGCTGATACCTCACGAGCAGGCTGACTGTGGAAGCGTGGAGTCCTCAGGGCTGCCCGCGTGTCGGGAGGTTGCGAAAGAACAAAACCAGTTCGAAGTAGCTCGTCGGTGGAGTTTAAAATTTATAATCCAGTCTGAACTTGCTTAACTTAAGTGCTGCAATCTTGATACTGCTTTCTGCTGAGGAAATCGTAGGAAATAAGTCTTTTTTCAGTTTTACAGTACCATCTTTTTAATTTTTGTTGCAGAGCAGTAGAAGTCCGTATAGTCTAACAGTGTAAAAGAACAAATAGAAAATTATGATGTCTGCATCTGTTGTTATGCTTCTGATTTTATTTCCAATTGACAATAGACACCTTAGTATGGGTCTGAACAGCTGATGTTCTGATATCCCTAGTTTTTGAGGTTTCACAGTGTACAAGCTACTTGTAAAGAAATTATGCATAAGAAAAGCTTTTTCTTAAAGAGTTGTTTTTAATAAGGGTTTTTCTGTTGGTTTTGTATAACAGTAGTTGTTTAAATAAAATGTTAGTTCCTTTCCCATTCTCACCTGATTATTGAAAAGAAAAAAATTATTCCAACAAAGCACCTTCTCTGTTTTGTGCAAATATATGGTGTCTCTGACAGGAATTTAAAGGTGCAGCATCATGGTTATGAAAGCTACACTAGAAGATGATGATTCCGGATGGGAACTCGGTATGCCTGACAAGATGGAAAAGAGTAATACCAGCTGGATAGATATAACCCAGGATTTTGAAGAAGCTTGTAGAGGTGAGTTGTTGTAGTCCTTTCATTCTGAGAAAACTTGGAATCCTTTGGAGGCCTGAGTGTAGTTCTTTGAGCTGTTTTGAGCAATAGTTTGACCTAGGTTCAAGCTTCAGATGAACAAGCATTGATTCCTTCTTAACTCTGAGGTTGGAATTGTCATGAACTACCTCACTTTGTTTTCTCTTCCAGATTACATAAATACCTCTTTAATTAAAGTTTTTTCATCTTACACATTTTCACATCTGCTTTTTTTCCTTTGTGAAGATTTCTTACTCTCTCTTTTGCCAAGTGGAGATGTCATTCCTGCATGCAGAGTCAACACTCTGTCCTGGTTTAGGGCAAATTTGTTAAAGAATCTGCAAAGGAGGGCCCCTCCAGAAAGCAAAACCCACACGGCCCCTCCCCCCAGCCGGTTCGGGAAAAAATTCCTCGGAGAGAGGTGGAAAGAACCTGTTTATTTGACTGGCCCACCAGCACCCCCCAGCACACAAAATGAACAATACCCGATGACACTGCTTTGAGAAAGATGGCAAAATCAGAAAGTCTCTTTTGGGGGTGGTTGCTCTGTTCTCAGTCCCTCCGGCGCTGGGCCAGCTGCTGCAGCCAAACCTTCGGTGTTCCCGGGTCCCAGTCCGGAGCAGGTTCGAGATGGTCACAGGAACAGGAGAGGAGAAACAGTCCAGGAAGCAATGTGGACTGTTAAGCTAATAAGCAGAGGCGAAAGCAGAGCAGAAGCAAGAGCAGAAAAAGAGAGCAAGCAAAAGCAGCAAGCAAGCTGGAAGTGAAAAAACAGCCCTATGTACTGCTTGTCTCTGTGTCCCTGATAAGAGAAACCCAAACAAAACTTCCACTCTTCTGAGCCGGTCTTAAAGGCACAGAACAGGTGAATGGGGATACAAGCATCATAACGTCACCCCAGGACACACTCTTTCTTTCTTGCATATTTTTGGATCTCCATTGTCCAGTAATTTATTTAATTCATCAGTGCATCATTTTTCATTTTGAAACAAGTCTGAGTTTTCAATTGATGCAGTGCATCTCAGTAATGGGGAAGTAGTTGCTTACATTTAAATAGTACCTTTATTACTGTCAGGTGCTACTGCTAGTTTACAGTTTTTTCAACTGATTTTATGATGACACTAAGGAAGGATAAGTATAAAAACTGCATCTTACCACACAGAATATTACATAATGATAAACACAATTTCTGCATATTATTTCTCTATATTACTCTAAATTACTTATAAATAATTATTTCTCTATATTACTTGTATCTGTAATAGATTACTTACATCTGTACCCATCAAATATATCTAGAGACTCCTTTAAAAGTTATGAGAGAAAGCAAGCCTTTCAGTAGTCTCCCCTGGAAAAGACTAAGACACATGAACAAAGGAGCAGAGGAAACAGCTGTATTCCAGGCTATTCAGATGCTAATGTTTCACAGAATAATCATCACAGAATGATTTGTGTTGGAAGGGACCATAGAGATCCTCTCGTTCCAACTCCCCTGGCATGGACAGGGGACACCTCTCACCAGACTGTGTTGCTCAAAGCCCCATTCAGCCTGGCCTTGAGCAGTGCCAGGGATGGAGGGTCCACAGCTTCTCTGGGCAACCTGTTCCAGTGACTCACCACCCTCATAGTAAAGAATTTTTCCCAGTATCTAATCTAAATCTCTCTTTTAGTTTAACAGTATTTCCCCTTGTCCTGTCAGTACATGTCCTTGTAAAAAGTCAATCGCCAGGTGTTTTCTGGCCTTCCTTTATGAACTGGAAGGATGCTAGCTGGTCCCCATAGACCTTTTTCTTCTCCAGGCTGAACAGCCCCAACTCTTTCAGCCTGTCTTCACAGGAAGGGTGCTTAAGCCTTCCATTCATTTTTGTTAGCCTCTTCTGAACTTGCACCAACAGATCCATGTCCTTCCTGTGCTGGAACCCCAGACAGACTCAGTGTTCCAGCTGGAGTCCCATTAGAGCAGACTCCCTTCCCTTGACCTGCTCCCCAGTATATCAGCTTTTTGTGCTATGAGTGCACTGTGTACTTAGTAATTCTAAAACTGTTTTAATTCCTAGAATAACAGAGGGATGGGGACATGCTGTTAACCACTGGGGTGGTTTTTTTTTCAGTCTTTCAGTCTTGAAAGTGCTCTGTAAGGAAAAGCAGTAGTGTCATGGGTTGACCTGGGCCAGATGCCAGGCACACACCAAAACCACTCACTCCCCTCTGCAGCTGGACAAAGGAGAGAAAATTTAATGAAGGGTCATGGGTTGAAACAAGGACTGAGAGGGATCACTCACCAAATATCATCAGGGGCAAAACAGGCTCAACTTAGACATATGAAGGGAATTTATTATTGACAAAATCAGAGCAGGACAATGAGAAAGTAAAATAACCCTTAGAAACATCTTCTTGCCACCCCTCCTTCCTTCCAGCTCTGCTCCTACCCCAGCAGCACAGGGAGACAGGGAATGGGGGTTATGGCCAGTTCATCACCCCAGGCTTCTCCCACTGCTCAGGAACAAGAGTCATTCCCCTGCTGCACCATGGGGTCCCTCCCACAGGAGACAGTTCTCCATGAGCTTCTCCAACATGGGTCCGTCTCATGAGCAGCAGCTGTCAGTGACCTGCTGCAGTGTGAGTCCCTCCCATGGACACACAGTCCTCCCAAAACTGCTGCAGCCTGGGGCACTCTTTTACAGGGTGCAGTCCTTCAAACACAAGCTGCTCCAGCATGGGGCCTCCCTTGGGTTCACAGACTCCTTTGTGCATCACCTGCTCCAGTGTGGGTCTCCTCCAAGGGCTGCAGGTGGATCTCTGCATGCTCATGGACCTCCATGGGCTGCAGGGCACAGCTGCCTCACCATGGTGTGCAGGGCAATCTCAGATCCGGCACCTGGAGCACCTCCTCCTCCTCCTTCTTCACTGAACTTGGTGTCTGCAGTGCCCTTCTTCTCCCATGTTCTCACTCGGCTCCTCTCCATCTGCAGTTGAAACTCTGCAGTGTGGGTTTTTTGGTTTTCTTTTTAAATCTCTTACCACAAGGTATTATTGTTTCTAATTGGCCCAGTGGCACATCCGTCTCTGGAGCCACCAGGGATTGGCTCTGCTGGACATGGAAGAAGCTTCTGGCACCTTCTTACAAAAGCCATCCCTGTATTCATCCCCCCACAAGCTACAAAACCCAGGCCATGCAAATGCAGCACAAGTAGAAATGCCTGATCTGCTTCCTGCAGCTTGTTATATCTTGGCATAAGGCAGTTTGGTGCGTGACAAGACTACCCTGGAAAAGTTGTGCTAGTAGGATGATTGTAATTGTTTGTTTTGTCCCTTTCCTTTATAGAACTGAAGTTAGGAGAACTGCTTCATGACAAGCTGTAAGTATGTGTGTGGGATGGTTCTGGCTTTTAGAAAAGATTACTGCAAACATGTTCATGTTACCTAATAACTAGCTTTTTAGACTTTAAATAAAGTATTTGAAGTATATAGAATATCATACATTCTTAGCAGTGTGTATATGCTACACTTGTACGAATGCTGAACATACCTGATGCTCTAAGTATAAAATTACATTTTTCAATGTGATTGAAATTCTGTTTCAGAAGTTCATGGCATATCTTACAATCTGTGGTGATTACATTACTGCACTATCTTATGGGACTTGCTTTTGTGAAAAAAGGCCAGAAAGACTTTAAACCTGGTTACCCCAAGTGTCACTATAAAATATTTGATAAACAATTGTATGCCTTAATGCAACATAAATATCATGCTAAATCAGAAAGTGAGAACTCTACACATTGAAAGTATATTTCAAAGAAAAGCATCTGGTAAAGACTTGCTGAATTTGAAACTAATAGCTCGGAAAACAGAAGCATGCTATTAAATGAAAACTTGCTTAAAAATGTGGGCACAGATGTCAGTTGAATCAAAGCACGTTTTCAGGTGTAGTTTTATACATAAGAGCATTTCAGAGCAAATGCAGTAAATACAGAATTTACATTCTCAGAATTTAATTGTGCCACATTCAGTAAACTTTTTGTATTATAAAGCCTGAAGTTCTGACAAATGTCGTATAAAGTGAAGCACTGTATCTCTTCATATGTGGGAAAGTCTTTTAGTGTGGCTCTTCTGCAAGCTTTTTTTCTTCCGCCCTGACTACAAGTGATATGTTATCACATGCTGCGTTTTTTTGGGTTTTTTTGCATCAGTTTTGGTAACATGCTTATTTTAAATAAACCTGTTATTTCAATGTATATTAGTCTATGTTATGTATATTGTCATTAGTGTTTGGGGGACATATCTTACTTGGTTTTCTTGGATGTGGTGTACTAAGGAACAGCTTCTTCAGTTAATATCAGTTTATGATTTTGCATGATGTTTAAGTAGATGCTATGAAGTTTATAGAAACAAGTGTGCAAAGATACAGTAGAGGGATATTTCACTCAGGAGTGTTCTTCATCCTTATAGAAAGTTTAATCACTTTCTTTTACTTTTAGCCATCTCTTTTCCTATGAATTTGTTGAGAGATTCTTAACTTCCTGAAAACCATGATCTCTGAAGATCAATACTAATGTTCATATACCTTATTGTCTGTGGTCAGAATATAGTGTACTTGGTTCGTCATCTTGTGTTCTTTTTGGTTAGTTTGCAAAGACTATTTTATATTAAAAAAATACATTGAGCACTTTTATTTTATTTGTGTTCCTAGTTTTGGTCTTTTTGAAGCCATGTCTGCCATTGAAATGATGGATCCCAAGATGGATGCTGGTATGATTGGAAACCAAGTTAACAGAAAGGTTCTTAACTTTGAGCAAGCTATTAAGGTTTGTATGAATTTCCTGGGTTTACCTACACTGTCTGTAGAAATACACATTTTTGTCAAATTACAGCTAAGCACAATACAGCATAAATAGTGTTTTCAATCTTCTCTTGAAATCTATGTTTTTCTTTTTTCTTTTGGAAAATTAAATAAAAAATAGCTTGTAATGTTTACCTTTCTTGTTACCTGCATTACCACAATGATTCTAACTCTTCCAGTGAAAAGCAATATGAAATTATTAGTTATTGATACCTCAAGTAAATATATCTCCAACATTGTTTTGCAAATAACTCTATGCTTCCCCAGAATGTGTCTTTTATATGAAGATGTATTGGTTGGCTTCTGTTTAACCTGGATGGAAACCAGCTTCCTTAAAAAAGCTGGAAATTAACACTTTTGTCATTCTTTGAGTTTATCAGCATTGAACAGAAGCCAGATAATTTATCAACATCGACAGTAATGATTAACTTTTGATTTATGATCAAAATAAATTGGAGGACAGAGGCTGAAAGACTTGCTGTTTTTTCAGAAAAAGTAATGCACTCAGAGGCGAAAGTATTTTTTTATGGTAAACATTTTAATGGAGACAGAGAACTCTGTTAAACACTAGCTAAGTCGTGTAGAATGTATCCAGGATTGCATACATTGGGCAAATTAAATGATCAAATTTGCAGCCTTTTTGGTGTTGACCTTTAAGGCAGTAAAATACTACAAGTTTAAAAAGCAGTCGTCAAAGAGTTGATCCTGCATATTACTTCTTGTTCAGTCTTTATTATGATGATACATACTTTATTATTATGATTTACTGTTAGCCGTTAACTGGTTTTAAACTTTTCTTGGCTAGTAATAAATAAGAATTCTTACTTTAGTCTTCTCTTTGGGTAGTTTTATGTTTGATCAGTGTTAACTGATGGGAATGAAAAGTTTTTAAGAATTTGAGACATGTTGTAAAGCTGGTTGGTAAAGCTAGTGGCATACAATTATTCTGAAGTTTTAAACAAATATTAATTTCTTTTTTGGCTTTGGTACAAATAAGTTGTATTTTGCCTGTATGCTTTCATAGTATTTAGGACTTTTGTTGTTTTTGTTTGTTTGTTTGTTTTCAAAGGATGGCACCATTAAAATAAAGGATCTCACTTCACCTGAGCTGGTAGGAATAATGGACACGTGTTTTTGTTGTTTGGTAAGCATTTTTCTTTTCTTTAGGTTAGATGGTTTTGCTTTCAAAATATAATCCATTAATCCATCTTAAAAAAAACAAAAGAAAAAAAACCAGCAGAACTCAAAAAAATATTTACCAAGCAGAAAATACATACTTATATTTTAATTTCCATGTAGTTATTTTTATTATCTATAATGAAAGGCTTAATTTTGATTTTTAATTTTTTTTCTGTAAGAAATATGGAAGATAGCTGGTAGTGCCTTAAAAACTTTAAAAGGTTTTATACTTTCTGGTTTTATGTTATCTGATTGCCTGCTGTGTATTGATGTTTGACTGTGTTGGAAGCTGAGTGTGCAGTAAGTGGTAGCACTCTGTTGCTCCTTTATGTACAGCCAGAATTGACTGAGCTTACAGAAGCATTTTGAACAAAGAAAATAAATCTATTTAGTAAAAATAAGTTGAATATCAGTTACTTATTAATTGCAAATTTTTTTCTGTGTATATGCTTTAATTTTCTCAGTGACTGATACTCATTATTTTCAGTTATTCTTCAAAATTACATCAAAAATATTGTTTTAAAAAACATTTCCAATCAGTTTAGTCAGAATGACATGTAGAGATCATAGTATATCTGATTCAGTATAACATCATTTGTTTTCTACTCCTGGTCTCCAAAAGGGGACCATATTGTAAATATGGTTCTACTTAAATTTCTATCTTGAAATGGTAAAAAACTAACTTAGTGAAACTTTCCCTGTAGCTTAAAGAAACATGGAAGTGGTAGAGAGAGAGGATTGTGATAAGAAGCTTTTATGTTGTAAAGAGAGAGAACATGAAGAGCATTGTGACTTGTCTCATAGTCATTTGCATTTTCCATTCACTATTTATGCAGAGAACATTTATTAAATGTTGAGTTCTCTGTGCCATGTCTAAATCATAGGGGTTAGACCTGAACTTTATAGAAGAGGTTTATCCAATGCCAGAATTCTAGGCTTGAAGCACCTTCACTTCCTCTTTTTTGGTACTTGGAAGGTTGCCTTGATAAGGCAACTTTAATTTTAATTTTAGTTCCTTAATGAGTCTTTGAAGCACAGTAAAATGGAAAAAGAATGGATCTATGAAAATGAGGACTTGGCTGTCATGAGTTAAATATTTAATTTCCTTTTTCCTAGATAACATGGTTAGAAGGACATTCCTTGGCACAGACAGTATTCACTTGCCTTTATATTCATAATCCAGACTTCATAGAAGATCCTGCTATGAAGGCTTTTGCTCTTGGAATCCTAAAAATCTGTGATATTGCCAGAGAAAAGGTTAACAAAGCAGCTGTTTTTGAGGAGGTATGTGTTTCCCATCTCCTGTGGGGTTAAATATGCAATATTATACCATAATGCAAGTAAAACAGTGTGTTAGTGACATTTGTTAGTGTTTGATTTGAGGATACTGTAGAAATAGCACTTCACCATCCTAAAAGTATTAGACTGGATACCTTTAAAATGCAGTTTTCCCTAGTGAAGGTGTTTCATGCTCTCTTCTGTATTTTCCTTGAATACTGGAGCCACATAAATATTTTAATCAAGAAGCTGTGCAAGTCTTGTGGTTAACCATTTGAAATGTGTCTCAGTTGTGAAACTGTTTCATTTTTTAATTTTTCTGTTAGATAGTAATGATTGCATTTTGCCTAAAATGTCCATCTGGCAGTGGGATCAGAGTCCTGTTTTCTACACTCAGAGCAATCCGTTTTCCTCTGAGCTTGGACAAGTCACTCTTCCTGACTATATCTAAAATGGATCAAATACTACTTTGCAGCTATAGTTCATATAACCTTTTGGTAAGGTGTCACATGATGAAAATATGAAGGGCATATTAAGGATTTATGCAGAAAATGATTACCTGAAACTGGATTTGGGTGGGAAAGTCATTCACTGTATTCATTCTGAGTGCATTCAGCTGTGTAGAATAAATCCAGACCTCTGTACATGATAGAATTAAACAAGAGCACACCCCCAGTCACTCCTCCAAAAGAGAAAAAAACAGCAAAAAGACTCAAAATCTTTTAAGAAAACAACTCCTAAAAAGCCCAAACCAAAAAGATCTCAAACCCCAGTCTGAAAATGTAACTACAGCTTTTATATTTCACTACATATTGCTTCTTTGATTTTTCTTTTTAGGAAGATTTTCAGTCAATGACTTACGGATTTAAAATGGCCAATAGTGTGACAGATCTTAGAGTTACAGGTACAGTCTGTGCTTGCTTTATATCCAGCAGCCTCTTTCTCTTTTGAGCTTGTGATTGCTTTCAGATACATCTGATTAATTGATAGGAGTTTCAGCTGTTAAGTTTTTATTTTTATTGTGGAATTTGCTGACTTGGTAAAAAAGAGATAAAATAATTTTTCCTTGGAAAAAAGGTTCAGTTGTCTTGTTATGTCCCTGAGAAACAGAAGTGCTTTTAAATGCACCAATGAAGTGGCTAGGCAGGAGCTCAACATGGTAAAGATACAGACCAATAGAAAGTACGTTGCTTGAATTCTGCTTTTTTGCCTCATAATTTGTTGTCCTCTAAATAGGCTGCTTTAGGAAAAAAAGCAATCTAGTAGTTTTACAGCTATGAATACATATGTTTTTAAGTACATACATAAGTATGTACGTTAATGATGCAGTATTTTTTTTATGTGTATTTGAGCTTTTCATTGATACATTTTTGAAAAGCTTATGCATGCTTTAGCTTTGCATCAGTTGGTCTCTATCCTGATTTTTGGTTGTTCCAAGACATCCCCACCATTCCTCACAAGATTATTTTTTGTTTAGTCTTTGGCTAATGGATATGTAAAGCACTTTTAAGTTTGATTATCCCCATAAAATTTCTTTTCCCCTGAGTGGTATAGGTGTGCCTAGAAATGCTTCTCAGCTTTTAATCATGCTGTGATTTTTTTCCAGGTATGCTGAAAGATGTAGAAGATGACTTGCAAAGACGAGTGAAGGTATTTTCATTTTTGTCTTGTCAATTATATTTCAGGTGTACTTAACATAGGTTTGGGGTGGGAGTTAGATTATGAGGAATGAAGGAGGGTTTTGTCATTGTAATAGGGTATTTGAAGGATTGCCATAATGGTTTCTGTAACATGCTTTTAGTTTGCCTTCTAGCTAAGTCTTCACTTTATTTGTAAACTCCTTAGTAGTTGTTTCAGTAGTAGTAGAAGCTGGAGTCATGATGCAGAAGACAACACTGGGCTAGGACACAGAAAGTAGGTATTTAACTTTCAGGTTTTAGGCAGATATAACATGTAAGGTTAAAGAAGTTACTTAATTTTCCTTTACTACAGCTTAAAATGCAAAGCGTTCATGCAGTTTTCTTGCTTATTTGCAGAATTTACTGAGATAGTTCTTACTACTATAGGGCAGTCATTCAAGTATCTGGATTATATTTTAAGAAATTTTGAATTTGAAAACTGATTTTTCGGGTTATTTAACAAGTGGATGTTTTAGAGAAGGCAAAGGGATTTTATCAGTAGCTTCCCTTTACAATTTTTAGTAAATTATTTGACATTTCTTTACCTTGCAGAGCACCCGAAGTCGACAAGGAGAAGAGAGAGATCCAGAAGTTGAACTTGAAGTAATGAATTGTTTGCTTTTTTCCTGGATTTCATGGATGTAAATGGGAGATTTAAATATGGCATAACCACACCCATTCATATAAGAAGCAGCCAGGAAGTGTGACCACCCAGGAGCATGGGGAAGAGCTGGAAAACAGCAGGGCATGCCAAGGCTCTTTGTGCATCAGTTTGTGCGGGGAGGGCAGGAGTCCTATGGGAGTTCTGCACACCACAATACAAGAAAGCCATTAAGGTATTAGAGAGTGTCCGAAGAAGGGCCATAGGGAGGATGAATGGCCTTTAGGGGAAGCTGTATGAGGAGCAGCTGAGATCACTTGCTCTGTTCAGCCTGGAGATGAGGAGACTGAGGGGAGACCTTTTGCAGTTAAAACTTCCTTGTGAGGAGGAGGAGGGACAGGCACTATCTCTTCTTTAATGATGACCAGTGAAAGGACTTGAGGGAAAGGCCTGAAGTTGTGTCAGGTGAGGTTTAGGTTGGATATTAGAAACAGCGTTTTCACCCAGCAGGTGGTTGGGCACTGGAACAGGCTCCCCAGGGAGGTGGTCACAGCAACAAAACTCTGAGTCCAGGAGAATTTGGACCACACACAAGCAGTTGGGGTGGGCCAAGAGTTGGGCTGGATGATCCTTCTGGGTCCCTTCCAACACAGGATATTCTATGATTTTATTATCTAATACCTACTGCTAAGTAATTAGCAGTATTACTTTATTACAGCATCAACAGTGTTTAGCTGTCTTCAGCAGAGTCAAGTTTACCCGCGTCTTACTCACCGTCCTGATAGCTTTTACGAAAAAAGAGGTACATTCATTTGGCGTTTCTGTGTTTGCATGGGGATGCTGTGAAATACCCATTTTTCATTCTTTAAGATCCGGAAATTACTGTGTAGATTCATGAGATTTGAATTGATGTGAATGGAGGTAAAGCTTTGAATAAAGCCTTACAGTGGCAAATACTCAGTTTTTGTTCCAAGTGGGAAACACAGGGAAGGCTAGTAGCTGACATTATTATGGCCTTGCAGAAGGACAGACTCTTAATTACAAAAGGTTTAAAAATATTTATGGATTTCTAATTACTCTTTTCACACATGAGCAAAACTTGTTTAATTTCAGTTCCCTCCTGTGGAGTTACCTGATGCTGGGCACTATTTTGTCCATATTAGAAGAACAGTATGCTTTTCCTTTCATGTGATAGGGAATTTATGTCTAGATATCTTTGGTCTGAGAAGAGAAATTCAATAGCATTCCATACAATGTGTCCGTTTTTTGAGGATTGATGTAAGATTTCCTAATTGCTGAGAGGGGAAGGAACTTCATGTTTTAAGGCAAAGGGCTAGAACTGCATGCTCCCCCAAGCGGACTCTCATGCATTGTTTACAAGACTTTCAGTTGTAACTATTGTAAAGTCTTACACAGCAAAATATACAGCATTGAATTTATGTACAGATATGTAAAATGTGCTACCACACAAAAATCTTGCGTTGTGTGGCGTTTTTTCAGAACTTGGGTTATATAAGAATATCAGAATTTTAATGCCCTTCCTTTTTTTTTTATACTAACATTATTTAGATAGTCAAATATATTGGTTTGTAATGAAAATAATTTTTTCCTGGCTTTTAGACGAGTGCAGTTGCAGAAGCTCAGAAGCTAATGACTCAGGCAGCTGACTTGCTCTCTGCCATACACAATTCACTGCATCATGGTATGCAGGCACAGAATGATACCACTAAAGGAGGTATGTATTGAATTACACCATTTTTTCCTTTCCTGGATATGATCCCTTCATAAACATAAATACCTTTATGTCTTTTTAAAAAAGTTGAAATCGCTATTTACTTTGAACTAAAACACTTGCTATGCAAGTTGTTACAGATTTGCATTGTTTGATTTTAATTTTATTTTACCAGGTGGTGGCTCTCCTGAGAGCAACACTGTCATTTCAAAGCCAGAGATAATGTGAACTTCTGATTAAGTGCATCGCACTTGGAATCAGTGTATATGCCATTTTAAAATAGGGAACAGTACTTCATTGCTTGTACACGAGGACTCGGGTTTCTTAAAGAGTAAACATTGTAGTAGTTGGCTTGTTGGAGTCTCGGGAAGTTAACTGTCACTTTAAGAATTCATTTTGGCTAATTGAATAATTTGTATTATTGAAGGGGGTTCTGAAAACACAACTCATATGCAGCTTTTCTCTCTCTCTCCTCCTCCTTCTTTAGATCATCCTATTATGATGGGGTTTGAGCCACTTGTTAATCAGAGATTGCTGCCACCAACTTTCCCTCGATACGCAAAAATTATTAAAAGGGAAGAAATGGTCAACTATTTTTCCAAACTAATAGACCGAATAAAAACTGTATGTGAAGTAGTCAACTTAAGTAACTTGCACTGTATACTGGTAAGCATGAATATTTCTTATTTATTACCAGAAATAAGATCTGAAAATGTGACTTGCAAAAAAAATCATTCCATATATGCATGCTCTGGCTCACTGGAGAGAAAACTGAGCACTATGTATATATTTGGTGTTTTTAACTGTTAGGCTCAATTTCAAAATTTACTATCCTTCCTGATAGTTACTACTTTTCTTCTTTTGATAAGGACCTTTTCTTCTCTCAAACATCTCAATTTTCCTGTAATTTATTAAATAGTTGTGTCTTACTGGCCAAGGCCAAGCAAGTTTCTTTGGTTGAAGAGCTGTGTCTACAGCAACAGAATATAATTCTTTGCTATATGTCTGATTTTTTTTTTCAAATTCATTAATCAGTATTCTGCACATGTGCCTATAACACAAGAGAGCACTAAATAGGCATAAAGTTAAGCACCTGCTTATATTCTTTCCTTAATAACTGATGTTACTCTTTGTTACTGCCTACATGTATTGGAAGACACTTAAATGCTTGAAATATTTTTTGGTATCCATGCATTCACTGACTGATAAAAGACATACAGTTACAGCAAACCTCTCATCTTCTTATTTCCTGCTAATTAATGAAAGGAGTGTTTGCATGAAGTGCCTGGTACCAGTTAAACCTTGCCTGGATTTCAATCAATTTTTTAAAATAAATTCTCAGTTTTGTTCAATACCTAGTATAGTTACATCATTATCTTAATCACACAGTACTTTTTTTTTCTGTACTATCGTCTTTCTAGTTGTAGCATTTGAAAATTCAGAACACTTTTTGTTAGGAAGCGAGTAATTGCAGAAAATCTTCATAATATATATTGTTCTGTTCAAACTATTCATGGTCTGTTTCTTACAAGCTGTGTAAGCTATGCTGTTTGTGTATGCCTTTAGACAAAATGTAGGTGTATTTACCCAGCTGTATATATTTGTTTAGGAAAGATGCGCGCATGCATCTTGTGTGTGTGTGTGTGTGTAAAAATGATTTGGTGTATATTTATACATATATAAATTGGCATGTTAACCTGATTTGTGTTTTTTTCTTTTCCTACATATATGTTAGGACTTTTTCTGTGAGTTTAGTGAGCAATCACCGTGTGTTCTTTCAAGATCCCTGTTACAGGCAAGTCCTAATTATGTCTACTATTAAAATACTTCTGTATTCATTATAGATTCATTTTCTTTAATATTTCAATAATTTGCATGTAAGTTAATAATAGTTAAGTGGTAAATAATGTTCTGGTGATATTTAAGTATTATGGAAGAAATGCTTTGCTATGAGGATGATGAGGCATTGGAAGAGGCTGCCCAGAGAAGTTGTGGATGCTCCACAAGCATTCAAGGCCAGGAAGCTGTCCCTGCCTATGGCTGGGAGTTTGAACTAGATCATCTTTAGTGTCCATTCCACTGCCAACCATTCTGTGATTCTACATATATAGGTTTATGTTTTGATCTAATTTCTAAAATAATTTTTAAACACTGTTGCTTTGATCATTTTAGTACATGCTAATTAAAACAGAAAGCATTTAATATTTTTTTTCTCCACCATAAAGCTGTGCCTGTACACATATTTTTATGCTGCTCTTCATGTGCTTTTTCATTTTGGGGCTGGTATTTGTATTCATATCCCTGTTTGGACAGAACTTAATGTACAGACTGCTTCTATTGCTACAACAGTAAAACTGATGGTTGATGCAGAATAGTAGGATGCCCCTAGATGCCAGAATTTCTTTACATTTGATCCCTGTTAAACCATGTGTAGAGCCAATGGACTATAAATGTGGGCAAGTGAAATGTGTTCCTAGCACGTGTGTTCTCACCTTCCACTACATGTGTTTGTGTAATCCCTGTGGGTGCCTGACAGCAGAGTTTTATCTTCAACTGCTGAAGAACCATGTAAGAAGGGGACATAGCACTCATGGAGGGAAGTTAAATGAGTTTCAGACATGACTGATGTAAATAGTAGCATCCAGAGGGATTGAAAAACATCAGCAGTACTCTGGAAATATATCCTTATCTTTGTCCAGAGAAGGCACATATTTTATGCTAATTTTCAGAAATGTTTGCTGTATCATCCAAGAAATTGAACAATTTTGCAAGCACTCTATTGTGCAAGTAATAGAGCTGCATTTGGTGTCCTGGGAATACCAAAGAAGTGTCAGGTCTCAATATTTCTGAGTCTTTAACCTTGGACCTAGTTGAGCCATTTTAATTCTTTAGGTAATCTTACAATTTTATTATATAAAAAAGGTACTGCCAGAGCTTTCTATTAGTAATTCTAGAGCATTACTTTTATGTTAAAACATGTTTCTAAAAACACATCTTTACTTTTAGACAACTTTCCTAGTAGATAACAAGAAGGTGTTTGGCACTCATCTCATGCAAGACATGGTAAAGGATGCCTTAAGATCTTTCGTCAGTCCTCCAGTACTTTCTCCAAAGTAAGTGGATCTTGAGTGTACTTGTATGTGATTACATGTCAGATGAAAAGGTATTTCTGTTACAAGAGCAATGACAGTTGTACAAAAACCATACATTTTGTACATAGTGCTTATGTATGAAGGACTCAGTTGCTGTTGCTGCACTCGTTTTTTTTTTGTTTTGTGCTACATAGATTTTTATAAATTGTGGCATTTATAAAAAATATGTATGTACATGGGTATTTCCTTTTTAGGTGTTGTCTTTATAATAACCACCAGGCAAAAGACTACATTGATTCCTTTGTCACACATTGTGTTCGGGTAAGTGTTCTTTCTAATTATAACATGTATCTGTATGTGAGAACTTGGCAGATGTACATAAATTTGAAAACGAGACAAATTATTTTACACACCTGACATGAAGGCAAAATTGAAGAAGTTGACCATCTTAAATTGGTAATGCCTTTTAAAAATCTGGTGTAATTATTGCTGGTTTTCTTCTGCTTCCAGATTTTTATTTAGCATTTATAAGAAATCTGCATCTACTACATCTTTATAGAGTAGTTTCATGTCACGAATGCGTATCAATAAAAACAAAATTATTTTAACATTCTGTTCAGTTTCAGTTTTAGGATTCTGTCGTTGAATGTGGCATGATGAAAATCTTAACAAAATCAGAATTATTTAGGTTGGAAAATATCTCCAAGCTCATTGAGTCCAAAACCAGCACTGCTAAGTCCATCACTAAACCATACCCCTAAGTGCCACGACTACACATCCTTTAAATATTTCCAGAGATGGTGACTCAACCACTTTCCTGAGAAGCTGGTTCCAATGCTTGACAAATTTCATTGTGAAGAAATTTTTCTTAATATTCAGTAAAACCTCCCCTGGCACAACTTGAGGCCATTTCCTCTTGTCCTGTTGCTTGACAGAAGAGATTAGCCTCACTTGGCTGCACCCTCCTTCCAGGTGGTTGTAGAGAGTGATAAGGCCTCCCCTGAGCCACCTTTTCTGCAGGGTAAAATAAAAACACCCCTAGCTCCCTCAGCCACTCCTCACATGACTTTTGACACAGACCCTTCACACCTCCATTGCTCTTCTGTGGACACGCTCCCTCAAGGTCTCTCTTGTGGTGAGGGCCCCGGAAATAAGTGAGGTTTGAGACAAGGCCTCACCCACCAGTACTGAGTTCAGAGGGACAACCACTGCCCTGGTCCTGCTGGATACAGTGTTTCTGATACAGGCCAGGATGCCATTGGCCACCTTAGCCACCTGGGCACATGGATTTAGGTATAAGAAATACCGCTTTAGCCCTAAGCATTTTACTCTGGTGACTTCCTAAAGGATGCTGACTTAATCTCACATCAGCTTGTGTGCAGAGAATTTGGCTCTTGCATCACTCCATAGAGTTTGCTTTCCTGCTAACTTGCACTTTGTAGGGAGTAGTAAGGGACCCACTTCCTAATATAGATGTATAAACCTAAATAGACATCATAGTACTTCTCCTGTAGTTTCAAAGTTGTATTGGTAATTTAAAATTACACTTTGCTTCTTTCAGCCATTCTGTAGTCTGATTCAAATCCATGGACACAACAGAGCTCGTCAGAGAGATAAACTAGGTCACATCCTTGAGGAATTTGCCACACTACAAGATGAGGTAATGTCCTAGGCAGCAGGCCAGCAAAGTTTCTGTCCAGGTATATTAATGCCAGAGTGAAGCATGGTACTAACTTCTAAATGAATGATGGAAAATCCTTAAGACAAGGACTCCTAAAATTTAGCACATTTAACAAGAAATTTTTAGGATGCATCCAAAAACTTTATGCTAGATGTGTTGAACAAAAACATACATTTTTTAAGATCAACTTTGTCCAATAAGTAGACTTCAGAATGACCTGTTGCGATGTAATTTAATGGTAACTGCACAGCTTTTAGTCTCTATCCTGCTTGTGATTATCAGTCTGCAAGATGTAACCAGGGGGAGATACACAAGGTGTGCTTACTAGACACCTTTGAAAACTCAGCCCTGTACCTATGTAAGATGGAAACTGCAAAATTTTATAATTAATAAAAATAAATTTAAAAAATAACTCTTAAAAATATGTGTTCTGACTGATTTTTGGACATCTCTCAAGAATGGGGAGAGATGAGAAGAAAAAATACATTCTCTCTTGCTGGAATTTGAGTTTCCTCAGCAGTGAGAGCCATATAATAATATTTCCCAATATGGCAAGGAGAACAATTGAGGAACTTGGAGGGAGATTTTGTGTGCTCCAGCTTTCTTCAAGATGGTTTGAGTTTGTTGCAGTATTGTAGCTGAGGCACTGTTTTTTTCATTTTGCAGCAGGTTATATGGATTGTTCTGTTTAGGCTTAATGACAATATTCCAACAGTGAGAGACTTTGTCTTCCATACAACTTGCTTCTTAAGACAAAATTGGTCTTGGCAATATTTTAGTTACTCTGGTGGAACATAGTGTGTTTCTTGCATATAAAGCTTATAAATTTATTTTTTCAGTACAGCTAGGTTTTTTTTTAAATAAAGTAATTCTTGCCAATATAGAACAATGAACACTAGCATGTAATGGGTTCTGAGTTTGTGGTCATGTGACTGCTAATGATCTACATACAAATACATTTAAAAAGTACAAATTTTATGTATCTAATGTTCTTACTATAATACTGTGTAGAATATTTTTGTTCTGTGCAGCAGAATTTACTTAGGTGAGTATCTTTACAGCTTTCTGACAGTTCTAGACTTGTTTCCATCTTTTAATCTGGAGCATAAATTTACCAACCCAATTTGTTAAGATTTGCTTTCTGGCTTTTTTTATTTCTGCTGTTTCAGTCAAATATTTTTCCTCCTCTATTACTTTGAGGTCCTTTGGTTTCTTTTCAACAGGCCGAGAAAGTAGATGCAGCGCTTCATAGCATGTTACTGAAACAGGAACCACAAAGGCAACATCTGGCTTGCTTGGGCACCTGGGTCCTATACCACAACCTTCGTATTATGATACAGTATCTTCTCAGTGGCTTTGAGTTAGAACTTTACAGTATGCATGAATATTACTACATCTATTGGTAAGAAGATGCTTTATTGACAGCTCTTTGAAGAGGGAGGGATGCTTTCAGAGAGCTATAATATTTGAAGGAGGGACTTCCAATATGATTTTATGATCTCAAGCTTGATCAACACTGTTTGGTTTACCTATTTATAATATTACAAGGAGAGAAAAAAATCTGTTGGTCTCTAGCTTTTTAAACTTACTAAATAGCGTACCTTTTTTTCTGAAATAGTAATTCTCTGTTTAGCTTTTTGGCAGAGGGTCTTTTATTGACAATGAATGAAATGTGTGCTAATTTTGGTAGACAAGAGGTATGCAGGAGAAAAGCAATTTCCTTTATTATTTTCTAACTTTGTAGTACCAGGATCACTAGTCTTATTGATCTCTGGTATTCTGGAAAAGTTCTGTGAAGTTTTAAGTCATAACTGTAATCTGAAAGTTGACTAGGTAAAATAAACTTCTTCTCTGGGGTATATTTGAAGAGATATCCTCCACCTTTAGTGAAAATAATCACATTATCTGGAAACAGAATACTTTTATTTTTCCACTTCCATTCACATTAATTATTTTTATAGTTAATGGCTTGTGCTGAAAGAGAATTTTAAATTTTTTTTTAACCTACCAAAAGATTCCTATGTAAGCCATAGCCTTCCTACTGAAAGATTAAAAGAGTGCAAATGACACAAACTTCAATGTATTGCATTTCTATGTTGTTTCAACAGTGGATTAAGTATTAAGTGAAAAAAATAATATTTCAGAAGTGACCAGAAGATGGCAATCTTTTTCAATTAGTAACTCAATAAGTAATAACTTTTGCGTGAGACAGTATTTTCTGTCTGCCCTTATTTCCCTCTACAAATTTAATAAAACCACTCTTAGTTGGAATTGTCATGTCAACTGCTTTCTTACTTGAGGAGAAAAAAAGAGAAGCAGTTTCTGAGAGGTAACGTGCAAATGAAACTCAAATTTCTCAGTAATTTTTTTCTGATTACAACATTTTAATAACTATTACTACATTTTATTACATACTACTACATATTACTACATACTACTACTATTCCTTTTGATTTGAAATCAAGTAAGATATTTATTGGACTTGCTTTCACTTTCTAAAAAATGTTCCTAAAGTTGTCTCTAACTCTGAAAGAACTGCATATGGATGTTGTGGGTCTGTGGGCTTGGCCCCTTTATGTAATAATCCATAACTTTTTAATGCTTGAAAAAGTCAGTAGTTACATTGTTTCTCAGAATAACAAGTCAGAAAAAAGGTAGAAAAGGTATTAACATAGTATCTTTAAAAAACCCCACTTGATTTGGTGGGGGAAGAGTTCTAGAAAAAGTTGGTCTTACAGGAGTTTTGATATAAGAAGCTTAGACTTCACTTAGTAAATGTGTAAGAAGCTTGCATACCTTGAGCTCTTAGTGGTTGAATCTGAACCAAAACATGAACGTAGACCAATGTGTTGATTCCAGCCGTGCAAAACAAAGAGTTTTCATGGCCCATAGGAATTGTCCTTTGCTAGGACATGTCCTTCACCTCTTGGAGCAAGCGCCTCGGTAGTCGGCGGGACGCGCGCGGCTCGAGTGCGTGGTGCGCTGCAGCCGTAACCGCTCCTGTGTGTGGCCTCTGTGCAGGTACCTCTCCGAGTTCCTCTATGCCTGGCTGATGTCAACGCTGAGCCGCGCCGACAGCTCTCAGATGGCAGAGGAGAGGATAATGGAGGAACAACAGAAAGGCCGCAGTAGTAAGAAAACAAAGAAAAAGAAGAAAGGTACCTAGGTGTAGAGTGCTAATACCTCTTTCCCTTTCATGCAGCTATGTAGAATTAAAATTCAAAATTTAAACAGGGAACACTGAAATGAGTAGGAAAAATATCCTCATGTTTATGAAGGCTGAATGTAAAACTTTTAAAACGTTTCCTATTTATTTAGTTTGTTTTTTACTTTCAGATAGATCTTTCAGAAAAACACAAACTCATTTATGTTCACTGTATATAGTTTCATCAGTTGTCTTATGTGTTGGACCTTCTCAGAGTTTATAATTCCTGCAGAATTATGCTTTTAGTGACTGTAACTAGGTTCAAACACTAGACTTTCAGCATATTTCTGTAATTTTTATTTGGCTTTAAAGGTCTTAAAGCATGTTTCTTAATTATACAATGGTGAGTTTCTGTTTTTCCTTGCCACCTTTTCAAGGGGAACAAACAATTAATTGGATATTGCTCAGGATCATATCAATTAATTTCCCTTGTCTCTCGAAGTTCAGAAAATTACTAATGTACTTGAGATGCCAAGTGTTGGGCAGTTTGGCACTAATTAAACACTGGAAACTAAAGGGAAACTTAAAAGAATGCTCTCAGGATTATAAGGATAAAAAGTGCTTTAACTACTTAGAAGTTAAAGCACTTTTTATCCTTATAGAAGTCAAAAAGATCCCTAAACTAGGCCTCTTGCATACAGACTGTAAGTTTGAGGCTGTTTTTCAGTGTTTTATAATGTCATGGGAATACCACTGATCAGTTTTTATTCCATTGAGAGTAGAATTGTGTTCATGTGACTGGTAGGGGTGTCCTGAGGTTTTTTATGTAACCAGGAGTCAGGGAAGCAGAAATGCATGTCTAGGCTTTGTGTACTTCAGTTATTTTAAAATATAATTAAGAGTTAAATGACTTTATAGAAATTTGGAAGAACTCCTCTATCTGAAATTAATATATGTACTTACACTGAAGTAAGAAAATGTATTTTTATGTAAAATTTGCAGTTCGCCCTCTCAGCAGAGAGATCACCATGAGTCAAGCATACCAAAATATGTGCGCTGGGATGTACAAGGTAACTCATTTATGTTCTATTGTTTCAAATTTTTTTGTAATAGGGATCCTGCATCCACTGCATGCCTTCTTTTTTTGTAGTGGTAATGGAAATTAAGTTCAAATTTATAATTTTCTATTCTGAATTCTCTACAGTTTTTCTATCCTTCCAGTTATACCTACATCATAATTTTGATCTTTCTCACAGCAAAGTATGACATAAAGCTATTATTTTCACTATATTTATCTTTTTCGTTTAGACAATGATTGCCTTTGACATGGATGGCAAAGTAAGAAAACCTAAGTTTGAACTGGATAGTGAGCAAGTTCGATATGAGCACAGATTTGCTCCATTCAACAGTGTTATAACACCACCTCCAGTGCACTACTTGCAATTTAAAGTGAGTAATCTTCAAACATGATGCTGCCCATGCTTTTATAGAAGTAATTTACTCACCTGCTTTAAATATCACTGTCATGATAAAAAGAACCTCAGAGTTCACATTGAAGCTATGTCACAATGGCAAGGACTTCCTAGCTTTAGTTTTGTGAAAGATGTATTGCATTGAAGTCTTTATAAACTTAGACATTTAGCATCGGTCTGATATGGCAGTTTTAGATGGTTCTGTTGAGTTGCATGAAAACCAAATCTCTTGGAAGTCTATTGAAAGACTTTTCGGCTGCAGTTAATAATAGCAGCATGTTTTTATTAGTGCAGCAAGCAAATGGAAAAATAAATAAGTTAATCTTGAGTGGTGTATAGAAGGGACCAGTGGAGACTTGTCTTGTCCAGTCTCCTTCTTGAAGTAGCATTATAAATCACATTACCTGTGTCTTTGTCTAGCCAAATCTGAAAAAAGTCAAGGTTGGAGATTTTCCAACCTCTTTGGTTAAACCTGATCCAGTTACTTTTTTCTGGTCCTTTAAGTCACAGGATAACTGATTGAGGGCTCCACTAGTCCTTTTTTTTGCGTAATGCCCAACGTGAATTACCAAGCCACAACCTGTGGCCTCTCATGTGTTGCTGTTTGCCATTATGAACAAGGAATCTTTATCTTCTGACAGCTTTGTAACTGTCTTTCAAGTAGTCGTCGGCTGCTATTAAAATTACCCATTAGCATCCTTCCTATTAAACTGAAAAAGTCCAGGTCCACTGACCTCTCCTTGTGGCTTATATGCTCTAGGCCCCCAACTATCTCCACATCTCAACATCTTTCTTGAACTGAGTTGATCCAGCCCTGGATGCAGTATTTCAGATAACAGAACACAAATACTGAGTTCAGGATGATAACATTCTTTGATATGCTGACCATACACGTGCTTGTATAATCCCATATGAGGCTTGTCTGATTTGTAGTAAGACCACCTTGTCGGCTCATATTGAACTAGGTGTTTGCTGCTCACCCAGCTGGTTATTAGTCTCATTTGTGAGGTTAGTCTGTACTGAAACAGTGCTATTTTCTGTTCCAGTTACTCTCCCCAGTTTAGGGTTACGAACTGTTGTAGTGGAAATAAAGCGATTATCGTGGTCTTGTCATTAGAGGTTTTTTTAAATCTGTAATCAAGAACAAAAAAAATTGAAGTATCAAAATTATATAAAATGAAGTTTTGTACAGTTTCAGCATCTGACTTGCTATAGCTTTGAGTAAACAATATACTTTTTTAATCTACTTTTTTCCTGTAATATCATACCCTGTTGTGTGCCACTATTAAAGCAAATGAATGTCAACTTGTTCAAGAGAGACTGTTTTATAAAGATTGTGAGAATTTCATTATGTTTTGTGGCACTGTAATAGTTGACCCTGTGTTGTTGCTTGGATTTTGCCATTTTCAGTTTTGATTTTTAAAATAGTATTTAGTTGACATAACTCTTCTCTTGAATACAGTAATGTGATAGAAGCAATCTCCTGGCAATTTTAAATTTGAATTTTATATATTTTAACATGTATTTATGTATTTCTGTAACACACTAGGAAATGTCTGATTTAAATAAGTATAGCCCACCTCCTCAGTCATCAGATCTCTACATGGCAGCTAGCAAGCACTACCAGCAAGCTAAAATGATTCTTGAGAATATTCCGAATCCAGACAATGAGGTAAGACTGCAATACTAGGAAAACAAGTATTTGCTCAAAATAGAGAAAGTGGTTTTTTTCAGCTGGATCTCCTTGAGATCCAAAATGTACTTCATCGAAATGGTGAGCAAAGTTGAGTGCTTTGATTAAGGGGCAGACCGTGGTCTGTGTCAGTACAGCAGTTAGCAGAAAGTTTGCTTGTGGCAAAAAAAGCTCTCTCTGCTGAGGACCTGAGATGCTGGATAGCAGCTTATTTCCTTGCATGCTGCCTTCTAGCCCCCTTCTAAAAGCACAGCACTTATAATCAGACAGTGATATCATGCCTGTCCCACTTAGTTGGCATCTAGTAATTCAGGTGGACTCCTGAGAGGTGGGGAAAACAGGTTTGGATGCCATTAGGATGAAAAGAGTATTGGTCTTTGTTTTGGCACTTGTTCCTTGGAGCATTTTTCTCAGTACTGAGCTGTAAACATGTGTAGGAATTTCTCCCTTTTTGTCCATAGCCTAAAACCTTAAGTGTCTGTGACTGTATTTTGGAGCAAGGAGGATGCTTTTTCTGTCAAATCTAAGCAGATTTAAGAATACTTACAGGATTGGGTCCTCCTTAGAATTTAGGACTGTCTTCTCTCTGGATCATGGTGGTACTCACACATCAGCTAACTGAGGCCAAGATAGTTCAAAGGCAGCTTTGAGCACACTCAGAGCACTTCCATGCAAAAAGCCACCAGTTTTATAACATGAGTTCCTCTTTCCATTGTGTTGTAATGTTGAGGATAAGATGCCTAGAGTATATCTATACCTTTATTTGTGTGAACGCCACAGAACTTGCCATAGTTCCCATGTTTTTGTTCAAGACTTGTTAAAGCTGTGGTTTCTGTGGCCTGTTGAATTTTTTAAAAAGTGAGTATTAAAATAGATGCACCCTTCATTAAATTTAATTAATTCAGCTGTTGTATTTAAAAACAAATCCAAAACAGTCTGATCTCTGTTAAACTGATCCTGTAGGAGAACTCCTGTATTGGTAATAGAATATCAGCATTACAGTATTATCTTTGAAATAATTGTGAGGTCAAATGTTTTGCCTTGAAGACTTCTTTCTGTTTTATGTTTAGGTCAATCGAATTCTAAAAGTTGCAAAACCAAATATTGTGGTCATGAAGCTGCTGGCAGGAGGCCACAAGAAAGACTCTAAGGTAAGGAAATTCCAGCTCAATTGAACATAAAATGTTCACATACATTAAGGTTGGATTCAATGATCTGAAGATTTCCCAACATGCACGGTTCATCTAATTCTATGTAAAGCCAGCACAGATCTCTTAAGAGCCAAATGAGCACATTCAAGCTGTATTTACTCTAAGAACGGGGAAAGTAATTTATTTTTCCCCTGGAAATAGTTTGTTGTAGTTAAGCAAGTATGGAAAATTCTAACCTGTAAATGTTTTCAGAAAAAAAAAAGGGAAAATCATGTTGGCCAACACAGACTATTAGTATTCTTCCATAGTGGGAACAAACAAGCATAACAGCAGCTTGTATGAACAAAGTGATGGGAATGTGGGCTGCCACAAAGACTATGTTTTTTCAATCTGTTGCTCTTAATTTTTTTTTTCTGTCTGCAGGTTGTTCTCGTAATAAGTGCAGTAGTACTGCTGTTCTAATGTCTAATCTTAAATCTTTTCTTTATAGGTTCCTCCAGAATTCGACTTCTCTCCTCACAAATACTTTCCAGTTGTGAAGCTTGTTTGAAGTAAAAGACATTTTTTTAGAATACCTGAAGAATACCTGCGTAGCAGATACCAGCTCTAGGAGGGGGGATAACTAGTGCTGCACTCGGACTACGAGGGACGTCCAGGATAAAAATATGTCATGTGGAATATCTGTACCGCTGCCTTTTTGTGATTTGAATGACAACTGCTGTTTTAAAGTGGTTTGTATAAAGTTTATTGGATTGTATGCGTGAAGCTGACTTTAATCAAGTGTAGTATTAAAGAACATTGTATCTTAGTTGATATTATTACAGATTTTGATCATAAATATTTTTGATTACTGAGTTCTGACAAAGTGGTGCATTAGGAACTGAATAAAAATCATGCAATAGAGCCTCTTGTCTGGTGCGCACAGCTAAGCTACTGCAATTCTGCATTTGCAGTCACTTGGAGAAATTTTGAGTTCCTGTATTTTTGTGTAATTGTATCAGAATTGCTCACTTTGAAAGTAGAGAAATGTTGGAGTTTTTTTTTCACCATGTTCTCCAAGCTAAAATGATCTTTATAGAGAACAAGAGCAGAGGAAAATTAGTCATTGAGTAATTGAGTGAGTGATTCCCAGCTGGAATTTTTCGTCTTTGTTCTCCAAGTGCTGAAGAATCTGCACAGCAGATACTCCAGTAGTCACTAGCAATAGCACCAGACACTGAAGACTCTATTTTACCAACTCTGCAACTTTGTTACAATCCTAGTATTTGCTGGTGCAAACAAGGGATTGCTACATTTGCATGATCTTTATTCGCCATTTTGACTGCAATGGGGCTGCTCCATCCTATTGTCTTCTGTAGTAATTTTCAGGTAGATTTCCAAAACAGGAGAAGCCCCAAACCTATCCCTGCCTTCCTGGAATAGTTATGCCTTCCAAGCTTTCAGATGTGAAATAACAGAGGTAAGCTGTAAAAATGCAACCAAGGAAAATATGTTTTTCCTTTGCTACAAGCAAGGAAAAAATGTTCAAAAAGCGGACCAGGCCCTGGCCAAGTCATACTTAGGCCATACAAGCAAATCCTCTGTTGGACACGACATATTTTCATTTTGGTGTACAGTGACGTCCACTGTAGGGATGAGCTCGTAACTCCACATTGGCCATACAAAACATTTTTTGGTGTTAATCCTATAACCTGATTTTACTGTGGGTTAATATCACTTCAGCTTCATCCCCTGAGCAGCAGCACTGCAGAACTAGAGCTTGAAAACAGTGAGTAACCTCTGAAGTGGAACATCCACTTGTCTTCCAGCAATTTGCAGCTTCCTGAAATAAGCAGAAGTACTGTCCTGAAGACATGTTTTTTTCCAAATTCTCTGCTAAAGAGATGGCATATCACATTACATGTTTACTTATCGTCATGATTAATACACTTGAATGTTTCCATATAGCTGCCAAAGGAATAAAAAACCTGGAATATGCAGAGGTAAAATGGCACAGAACATTCATCTGGCTTCTTGTAAACAGTCACAAAATCTTCCCCATCTTAAAGATTCTGAACTACATGACAGTAGCTCAAGGACAGCCTTTGTTATTTCTCCAGAGTAAAAGAGAAAGCAAATTACATGTGATTTGTGGAACCAAGAAAATAGCAATAATAATATTTCCCCTTCTAATTACAATTAGAACTAGATGAATTGTACAAAATAACACCAGTACACCAGAAAAGATTACTTTTAAATGCTTACCTAAATGGATCAAGTGTAATTGTAAAGTAAAGAAAACCAAACCAAAGTGCTAATAAAACACCAAGATGCTTAGAGAAAAGTAGAACTAAAAACTTCAGTAAGAGACAACACTATGTACACCACAGTTCAAAATTAATCTCTTGTTCAGCTGCAGGTCTTTTAATTCTAAAATTCTGTACAGTAGACATACAGGCCTCTTGCCTACTAGAAATCTACCACCCAAGTTAGATTGAAGCACTTGAAGTCATTGTAAAAAAAATGTAGTCCTTGATTTTGAACGCTGCTCTTACGCATGTTGTCGGACCCTTTGCCCTCAGAGGTTTACAAGTGTGCTTTGTACAGAGGTGGTCATATTTATGAAGGACAACATCCAGTTGTTGTCTTCCATAAATATGGAGGACAGGAGAAGCTCAAAAATGTACAGAAGCATAGACAAAACAATTAGTTTTAAAATAATCCTCTGGCAATATATTAATTACCCTTAAGTGTTTGATTCTTTGGAATTTTTAACTTGGTACTGGTAAAGCTATTTATACAACTTGATTTTAGTGTTTCACTGTCTATTTTTTACTGTTAGAATATATGCTTTTTAACAGTCAATATTAAATTCCTGATCAACTTAAATCTCAGCTGCATAATTGTTTACAGATTAAATCCTAGGAAAATTGGTAAACACTTTGATGTTCAAACATGTCGTTATTTGCAAAAAATATCCCAGTAACCAGAGCTTCCCAATACTTGTCAGAACAGATGCTCATTCCTCTTCTCCCATTTACAAGCATGTTTTCCCTGCTGTGTTGATTGTAGCCCAGACCAGTTAGGTCTTACTTAAATTGTGAAAAACTGTTAGTGAACTGTTTCTGTGTTTAGGCTTAACAGGCATCTTTTGACTTAACTCTGACCTTCACTTCATGACAACTAATACTCTCTTCATACACAAAAGAGCCAGCCTTATCTTAAGGTACAGGATATACTAGTACACTGAAGAACGACACACCACAAAAGGGAGTTACAAAGTGAAGTGCTTTAAGGGAAGGCAAAGACAAATTTATGTTTTCTTAAATGGAATGCTGCTTGGCAAGTTAGTCACAGCTGTCTGGCAGCTGTGCTGTCTTGATAGAGGTTGGTTAATACTCAAAAGCAATGCTCCAAATACAGGTGTCAGTCTTGGGAGCAGACACAAATATAAAAATTTCTTCAAACCAGCTGCCTATACATGGTTGTTGGACTGCAGTTAAGGATGTAAAATAGTTTTTAGTTTACATTTTAGTTTACATTTAACAGAAAAGACTGCCGAACATTAACAAGATGATACATTGTAATTAACGTACAACTTCATAACAACTAAAGCCGCGCCTCTGGAAGGCTGCCTTGTCTTCTGAAGGCATAGTCTGGTTACCTCTGTCAGAAGTCCAGCAGAGAAGATTAGTCATGTTGAACAGATGACATTGCTGTTGTTGTACAAGGCAAGCATTTGCATTCCTCTATTTTCACAAAAGAAAGCGGCCGGGTGGAATAAAGGGTAGTTGCAGTACACAATTCAGAGGGCTTCTGTCATGAAGATGGTGAGTTTGAATTTTTACGCTAAACTTGTGCCCAGTAGTGGTAACCAAACTAAATTGTAGTACTGACTGTGTGGAATCAAACAAAACTTTCAGAAAAATCTTCCTGGCTAATCTCTTTGCAAGAAGCTTCTATTGTCAGAATCCTTTTTGGTTTTTTTTTTAACTTTGAAGCTAAGAACACATCTCGACACTGTACTCTAGGAATTTTATTTAGAGGCCTAGGTACATATATCATTCTGCATAGTATCTGAGGACTACAGTTGTGCTTTATCAGCAGAGAGATCCATCCTTGGCAGAGGACTGCTCATCATCTACCACTAATCCACACATACGCTTACTGCAGTAGGACCATATAAGGTAGCCAACTTCAAAGTTACTAACTTTATTGCTACCTGATTGCAATTTTATAATTGACAGGAAGGAGAAAGTCATTGCCCAGGCCAAACTGCTTTGAAACAAGCCTCCAGAGATATACCTCTTTTCCTCACTGCAACAAGACTAAAACTTCACAAGAAAATACTACTTTGTTTGGGCCCTTAGTCAAGTCTTTAGAAGATAATCAAAACCTTCTAAGATCACTTTGCTTGGATCATGGCTGCATTTAGGTGAAGAGGTGACTCAGTTGTATCATGAACTTCCTTTGTTCACAACTTCTACAGCCCTTCACCATTGTCAGGTAAGTGGTTCTTCATATCTTCATGGTTTTGAACTAATGGGGGAAAAAGAAAAGGTACAGAAATCTCTTTTACGAGGCAGAAGTTCTTCATATAGAAAGTTCTATCTAGAAAACAACAAGAAATTTTGTAAGGACTGTTAAATACTATGTAGCACGGTAAAGTTACAGATACCACACCCCCATTAATGAGCAGGTTTAGTGGTGCTAAACAGAAAACGGGTGACACTATAAACATGAGGGAAAGTTCAAAAAACAAACAAGTTAGCTAGATATAGCTTGCTTCAGGATACCATGCAAAATATGATCTTAACATTTTAAGCATGTGATACTTATATTAAAACTGGTTTTTTTCTTTTTTACCATTTTCAATCCCAGCAAGTGCTGCTTGCTTGTCAGTTTCTGATTCAGCTTCATTTACATCTAAATTGTAATCGACATCCTTGTCCTGGTTCACTTCTTCATGTTCCTGTTTGTCTGGAAGATTAAAATTAAGTCATTTTACGCTATACCATCTGCACACAAGAAGAGTGACTGTAAACATCTTCCACAGAATTACATTACTGCTGAAGGAATTGCTGTTCTGAGTAGGTTTTTATATTATTTTTTCTTTGAAGTGTTAACTTTCAGAGCAACTTTGGCTGTAAATCCTGTCAAAAGAAGCTGATTAAAGACAATCTTTTGGGATTTGCAAAGCATAGCAAAATCTGCTAGTCCTCTGATGAACATAAAGATTATTTTATATAATTTTATATAAAGAAAAATTACACAATTTCAGAATGTATTAAATGAAAGCCTAAGGAAGGGCAAAACCTGAAGTAATTGCTGAAAGGCAAACAAATCTTGTTTGAGCTTGTCCAGCAAGCGGAATGCTATAACTAAAGCGTAAAGTGTTATATGATGTGGCAAATTGTCACAAAAGTACTTTTTTCTCCCAGAAGATTTTCTTCACCCAGTCATTAACTCCTCTCAAGCAACATTTACTGACCATCAGATTTCTTTAGATAGAGGACTCAGATATAAACTGAAACATCCATGTTTTTGAAGACTCACAACAGTCAATTTCAGATACCTGAAGTCTGAGTTACCAGTTTTACTCATGGTAGCTTGTTTTGAAATAGGAATAGCTAGTATTCACACACTGACATTGTAAAAAGACTAACTGTAAAACATCCACGTGTAAGTGCTCTACTCATCAGTGCTTTGGATGATTAATATCTTATTCTTTTCAGATGCATCATATTCTTTTAAAGCCCCAATACCAAAAAGTTTTGGGGTGAATTACCCTAAACACTTTGTAGAGCCCCTGGAGAGACAGTAGGGCTGTTATGGTGATGCAGAGGAACTCAGCCTGGCAGCTTTGTTTTGCACAATCAGAAGCCTGCATCTTTAATGCATGGACTGTAGGTGACTGCTTGGGATTGACACCTTCCACACCACACTGACCTTTAAGAAAACTTGTACTAAGTCTGGCCAGCTTCCACCACTGTTGTAGAAATTATGTCCTACTCCACACTTTAATTTCTTTATTTTTCATTTTGTTACTGTTTTTAACAATACATGACATGCTACAAACCAGCCTTTCCAGGGAGCAAGTCATCCTGCTTATCATCATAACTTAGGAACTGTTCCCGCTCAACTTCCTCACTGGCAGCCTGCTCTGCAGCTGGCTCTGACATATCTTGCCCAGCTACATGTTTCTCATTCTCAGGTGCTTTTGGTTCCTTCTCTGACACAGGCAGCATCTCCTTGTGACCTGCAGCAGCCTTGAGCAACTCTTGAGGTTTTTCCAACTGATTAGAAAGCTGCTCCTCTTCTGCCTTAGGCTCCTGTTTTCTCATGTCAGTTAGGCTGTCTGTTCTTTCTGAAAACAAAAAAATGATTCTGAGTTTAAAAACTAATGCCTTCCAGAGTGGCAAGAATGCTTTGTATTTCTCACTAAATTATTGGTTTTCCTGTGAAAGAGTATCTTCCAATCACACCAGTACCAGATAAGAGAAAGACAACTTATTGTTCCCAGTTCCTAACTGGGAACAGCTAAATAAGGCAATTTCATTTACTGTCAACAGATTAATGCTTCTATATCCTTAAAATTTTGGTATGTGTGGTTAATAAATTGGGCAAGTGAAACAGAGCAGTTTAAATAGAAATTGTGGTATATAAGCATTACGTTTCTCTGTGTTACATCTTATTACCAACAATAAAATTGATTTGGTGTTCAAAAGTAGCTCAAGACAATGCAACACAGGCAGATTTGCAAGTATCCAAGCCTGTTCTTGTTTAAGTGCAGGAATGCTATAATTTATAGTTGACACTAACATATATCTTTTCTCATGTATCTGCATTTTTAATTTTAAAAACCAATTAGATTTCTCAACTAAGCTATATGTAGACACTGTCTTCAGCTGCTAGCCCTCTAAAACGAGAGTTGCATGCTCACAAGATTGTAATTTAAGATAGCATGTAAAAGTAATTAAATTTAAGAATTTAATTTCTATCACACACACTACAATGCAAAACAGACGCACAGGGATGCATCCATTCAAATAAATATTATCTGAAGTTTAGGCCAAAAGGAACCATTAGGCTAACTAACCTAAACCCATGTGTATCATTTCTCTCACTTGCATTTTGCTCAATGACAACACAGGGAAGTATGGATGTGTGTTTGTTGTAAGCCTAACCTTCAACTATTCCACAGGGAGGAGGGGTACCAGGGTGAATATGTCAAACTTACTAAGAAAGCAAATTTTAAGTATGTTTTAAAATTTTTCCTTCCAAAAGTTGGGTATTTTCTCCATATTAAATTAGGAAGATGACTCCAGAATTGTAAATATTTCTATTTTCTGTTACGTGCAACATGCCATACTACAACAAAACGGAACCAACAAATCCAAGCAGGTTTTCCTTCAGCTGGAAACCTGATGTTCAGACTGCTGGTGTCACTTTTTTCACCCTTACCTGGTGTACAAAAACATTCCTAAATGTTCAGTTGAAAAAGAACTGTTCTCAACAACAGTTGTTAGTGAGACAAGGATTTCCATCTCACCTTTAACCTGCATCAGGTCTGTCTTTCTTACTGTAGGTACTGCTTTAGGAATATTTTCATTGGTTTTCTGCTGTTCCAAGTCATCTTGCTTGAACCCTGCTTGCTTCAAGGCTGGCAGTTGAGTATCAGCCTGTAAAGTGAATACAGCAGATAAGCACTGGTCTATATAACTGCACATGGATTTGAAAGGGAAGTAGAATTTAGGTAAGAATTTTGCATGGGAAAAAAATCCCAACACACTTGGAAATATTTGGACTGGATTTTTATTGGTAACAGATGTAGTGCACAACTCTGTCTATGCAGTAGCGTTTCTATGTAAAAGCATAGCACATCAGGAGAGTTTTAACATACCTTATTTAACTGCAGCTAATGATGAGATTACTGCCCTTCATTATTCTCAGAGTGTTACTGAACAGTAACACCACGTATTTATCCACTGTTGTTCTGCTACTGTGTCAGGGTCAGCAGAGCAAATAAACAGATGCCATTTACTATTAACAGTCTACAGGGCAAGAAAACTGAATTTGGTCATCATTAAACTTCAGCTGAGTAATGCTTGTATAGAACCGGTCTGTAACTATATTAAATGCAGGATTCAGAAAAGTGTAAATTAACCAACTAGAAAATAATACCTGTTTAACATGATGGAGCTTGCTTAAGAATGTACTAAATTCTGGTGCTAGACTGCTGTAAACATCTGACCCACTTAGATATCCAGCCTAAGATGTACACCATCTTGAAGATCCTCCCACTGGGCAATTAAAATTTTATGTATGATTTTTACTTACACTAGCACTGGCTCCCTCACATGGCCCTGCATGACAGAGCTGGCAGGTTTGCCTGCCTGAGGCCCCTTTCCATCTCCTCCCCATCTCTGGATCTAATGGCTGGCAGTCCTGCATTTGGTGCTAGCCCTTTCCCTCATCTATAGCATGGGGAACAGGGAGCTCAGGAATGCCATGCCACCACCTCTCCATAAATTACTCCTAGACTACATTAATTAAACATTTGGGGATGTAGGTTTGTACTATACCTCTTGAGAGACACAGGACTCAACTTATGATTCACAATTAATTTCAGGTGAAAATGAAAGATGGTCAGTGAACTAAGGGATGTACCCAAGGGCTTTCACACAGGTGAAATTAAGAACACCCATACTCTAGGACAGGAATCTAAAGCTGCCTGTAGAGAATGGTGATTCTCCAGCTACAGCATGTTTCTGGAGCTGAATGGAGGTAGAAGAGGTTTAAAAAGATGGGATGGCTACAATTCCCCTAACGTAGTCCCATGGTTCATACGGTACCCCTTGTAGCACTCAGGCTCCTGTCTTCATGGTCTTTGCTAAAGCAGTCAAGACCCTGCTTGCCCTGATATCTGGTGTTAATCTTTCCCCACTGTCATCTCAAAAACACTAAATGAGGGTATAAAGCCAGGGCCAGTGGGGAAGGAGCTGAGCTGAGCTGTTTGTAGATGACTTTATGAGAACAAGCAAAGAGAAAGACTTGAAAGGAAAAAGAAAGAAAAAGAAAACAAAAATATAAGCTCAGATATGGGGTTGCCTGCCTGGCAGCCCTGCATCAGGGACTTCTATGGGACAAAGAAGCTACAGTTATTAACTCCAAATAAAGGTCTGCTTCCACTGTCATTGGAAACCAGAATGCTTTCCCAGTCATCATCAACTCACTGCATTACCATCACTGCTCTCCAGAACCACCCCAAAGGAGGTAGTTGTATCAAGGTAGGGATCAGCTTCTTCCAGGTAACAAGAGAAGGACAGTGGGAAATGGCCCCAGGTTGCAACAGAAGAGTTTTAGATTGGATATTAGGAAAATTTTCTTCATTAAAAGTGTGGTCAGGTTTTGGAACAGGTTGTCTAAGCAGAGGAATTGCCATTCCTGGAAGTTTTCTGAAGGTGTGCCACAAAAGTTTGGCACTTGGAGACAGCTGAGTGGTGAACACAGCATTGCTTGGTTAATGGTTGGACTTAGAGTATCTTACAGGTCTGTTCTGACCTTAATCATGTTATGATTCTATAACTGGCAGAGGACTATGTCAATTCAATTCATGCAAACATTGGACATTGAACATGAAATACACATGGAGCCCATTTTGCTCTATACCTTATACCAGTTTGGTGAAAAAAACCCAGAGTGTTACAAATTCATTTGTTCTGTGGGGCTTTTTTTGTTGAACTTTTGGTTTTGTTTCATTTTTAAAAAATTAAATTAAAAAAAAAAGCCAAACATGCAGAGAAAGAACAAGCATATGCACATTCAGAGACACAAACCTTCATGTCAGGTACCATACAAATGAATGGGCAGTCTTATGGTATAGGAAGTCTCACAGCTGACAGAATTGTTTCCTGTTACCAATTGTCATTGGTACTGTCAAGAGCATAGCTTCCCATTTATCCAAGGAGGGCAGTAAAACAAGGGCAATAAAACACTATGTTGTCAAATGTTCATTCAGTCACTTGGAAAAATGAACACAGAAAGAAGTAGCTAAGTCACCAAGAAGCCAGAGTTGCAGCATGACTACTTGGTTGTTTTGAAAAGCATTTAATTTCCATCAAAGCCAGGCAGAACAAGATCTTTTTGTGTCAACACCATGAAGCCCAGTATCAAAAACTAATCTAGCATTAACACTTACCGATGTGTGATAAGCAAATGGTACTGCAGAATATTTGGTTACTGCAATAAAGATATTCAGAAGAACTCCATCTTCCTTGAATCAGTAAAATAAAAATGCTGTATTTAAACATGGTTCTATTCTATAAATAATTCAGCTCCTTAAGATCACTCTCTGTAGTGGAAGTCATCAGAAAATGAGCATAAGACTATCTTTCGCTTTTTGTTGGGCATGAATTATTCTGCAAAAATACTGAGCCTGGACTTAATAGCAAGAAGTTACCTCTTAATTACACATGCAAAATCCCTTTACTTACCTTAAATTTCTAGCTAAGTAATTCTTAATGTCAAATAGATTCAAAGGGCATATGCTGATTTTTTAAGTAGCTGGATAAAAAGATAGTAATTGAAGATGTTGTATTTTCTTCAGCCAAGAAGTATGCATCATTCTTCAAATTACAGAGCTCTAAGTAAAGCTGTTTAGTTATTAACCAACCAACACTCCATTTTTTTTCTGTCTTAAGACAGACCTTCTATTACATAAGCACATACATCTTAAAAATAGGAATTACTCCAGCTTAAAACACTGGGCAGAAACATACATAGATTTGTCAGGGTCATCTTGCACAAACTATAAGTATGCTTTTATGAAAGCAAAAGGTTGATATTCTTGGGCAAGCAAAAAACTGAGAAAGTTACAGCTTGGCCAAAGAAACACGGCCACATACTAGGGAACACAAACAGACAGAAATTATTTAGGCATTAGCTCTTTTGAGACCAACCCATTTTATATATAAAAAGGATAAGAGATAACCTGCTCTGCCTCACACATAATCTGCTTTGAGTAAAAATTGCCTCCAACTATTCACTTTTGTGCAGGAGACTGAAATTGTCCTGCAGAGGGGCTTCAGTAAAATTCCTCAAGTTCCTTCTCAGATAATTTATCTTGCAAACTGGAAATGGTAAAAAAAATCCCAAAAATGCAAACACATATACAGAAACAAACAAAGCAAAGGAATCTAGTGCAAGTAATTGTAATTAAAACCTATTGCAAAGCCACACTAAAAATTACCTTGACCACCTCTTTATTAGGGTCTTCCCTAGGTAAACTTTCTTACACAAGATATATTTGACAAACTAACTATATCATCTCCAAATTATGCAAGTTCTATTTACTTACAAAGATGTATTTACTATTTATTTTTTATCTACTTATTTGATACTGTTTATAAAAACTATTTCCAAGAGCTGTGTAACTTTTATTTGAAGGTAAAACTGGATAGCACTTCCTGTTTGTAATGCTTCTTTCATGTTGCAGCTTTCACATAGTGCAGGTTCCCAGAATAAAAGGTCACTTCAGTACAACACTTTAGTAGTTCTGTCTCCCCCATTTTACATAAAGGACTGGACACATACTGAAACCATTACCTATGGGAATCTCTGGGCAGATGTTTTAACTGTCTTCTCACATGCTTTTTCACCTCTTTGTAAAACCAAGATTCATTCCTCACTGCCTTACCCTTTTCACATCTGAAGCCATCAAATTTAGCCTTCTCCTAGCCAAAGAAAAAAGGTATATTCCACTAAACCTCCACTGCCTTTGTAATGAGAGTAGGCTACTCAGGCAGAGTGAAAGGCCCTACTGCAGTCACGTGTGAAAAGTCTAACTTCTAAAACCTCTGTTTCTTCAGTAATCCTGAAGAAAGGGCTATTTTGGTACAGAAATAAACTGGGTGCTTTCCCACCCAAGAGCTTGACTGCCTCTTTCCAGGGCCATCCATATCAAGCTTAATCAATCCTATCCCTGACCAAATCCCATATCAATGAAGATGCATGAATAAATCATATGTCATGACAACAGAATGAACTGAAATTACCTTTTCTCAGGATTTTCTGCCACCCTCTGCACCCCAGGAGAAAAAGCCAGCTAACACGCAGCCAACCTAATTGCCAAGCCTGCCCTACCATAGTGAGCTTTCAATAAGTTCAGCAATGAATTTGTGATTCTTTGGCTCAGAATATCTGACATCAAACAGCTAAGATATTTGATTATCCCTTTATTCCTATAGTAAAATGCTGACATAAAGGACTTCTGTGAAGATTCATAGCTCATGATCTTTGGACTACAATATTCAGGGTTTGCTGCTTCTCTGAAGTGATTCACAGCTTATCCTCATCCTTAACACACAAAGCAACTAAGTACTTCAACAAAGTCAAAAGGTATTATTAACTAAAGTTCAGTTGTGTAAATATTCCTTAATGGAACCCACACCACTTCTGGCATCACCTCTCAAATTCTGCCCATCTCAGAGACATGGTGATTTGGAATCTCCTGCAGGACATCTCTTTGTTCTGAATTTCAAATCACCCCATTTCCCACAGATCAGAAACATTCAACAAATGCTGAAGAAGTGAAAAATTTAATGAGATGGAGAAATGCTATTAGGAGATAGCAGAAAGGTGAATAATCAGTTAAGAATTTTAAAAAAAGTATTTTCAAGAAATTATCCAAACCATACCCGGCTATCTTCTGCGACGTCTTTGTTTTCTTTGATTTGTGGTACATCACTATTCTTTTTTCTAAGTTCATCTATCCTTTCTTCACATTGTTCTTTTAATTCTTTCATCTGGTTGATGCACTGTGAGCTGAAAAAACCACGAACAAGATGATTAAGTTTCATCCAGACTCTTCCATAGGGTAATTTTGTAAAATTAACTAATTTTTTTTTCCTTCATATATTTATGTTTTTCTTTACGTTTATTATTGCCTTAATTCTACTACAAAATTTAAACTATTTTGTCTGAGCAGCTCAACAAGCTACATAATTTTTCCATTGTGTGTTTGCTAACCAGTCAAGTCCAGGTAAGTTAAAATCAATTTTGATCCTTGAAGCATTTCTAGTATGATTACAGAAATTCATATTTTGATTTTAGCCAGAAAGACAAAACAGAAAAGTACCAGCTGAAATAGAAAACAGATGTAATCAAGTGTTAGCAAACTGAACACACCTCCTCAGTATTTCAGCAAAGTGCAGCGCTGCCAGTTGTAACAAAACATATGTTACAGACGTGGAGTTCACTAGCAGCTACTGTAAATTCCAGAAGGAATATATTCTAAAGATGCAAGCACTGTGTATCTTTTAACAAACTTTTAATAGTTACAAAGCACCGTCAGGATCTCAACCTTTGTGACAGCAGTCTTCTGTCTGCATCCATGCAGCCTGCCTTTCCCTCACAGCTCCCTAACTCCTAGCTAAGGTCTGCTGCTTGCAGCAGTGCTTTTCCTAAAGCTGCCAGGGCAGTGCTCTCCCCTTCTGTGGATGTGCTGGGGATTCTGTGCAAAGCTCAGGAGTTTTGGCAATCTGTTTCTCAAGGCAAGTGGCTGCAGTCAGGGCAAGAGGCTGTAGTCAGGGCAAGATCATCCTTTTTCTCCCACTCTTTTCATTAGCCATTTTATAGCTTTCAGTTTATATCAAAGGTAGACAAAGACCTAGTGAATAACAAACCAAGACAAGCATTATCCCATAACACACACAGAAGCCTTAGAAACTAGTCATCATGTGAACCCAAGTATGCTCTGACCCCACTGTGAACAGGAACAGCAGTTTGAGTGGATCCCAATAACAAATGTGTCACACAAGGGGAAAATACATCAACTTCAGTATCCACTGCCCTGGAGAGCCTGCCCAAGGAAGAGCAGGCTCTTGGCTGGGGACCACATTTTCTTTTCCATGCTAATCGAGCAACAAAGAAGTTTTATGGGATTTTAAAACCTTTTCTCCTTTCTCTCTCTCCTCTGTTTTTCCACTCAAACGTAACTTCCAGTTTTTATATATACAATCAGCTACAGACCTTGCAAACATATCTTTCTGCATTTGAAATCTTTTCCAGCAACCTTTACACAACAGTATGGTCAACATACTGCAAGTTTCTTATCCCCATCACTAAGACTAAGAAGGGGGGTGAATTTCTCCTTATTCTGGCTCTGACTAGTGTTATTCTAACACTGGTCTAATATTCTCAATACCCTCCGCACAACAGCAGCTGCTTCAGAGAGGCATGCTGCAGTTTCTCAAGCTGAAAATAAACTACTGTGTAATCCAAAGGAGTTTCCAGGCTACGTGCACTTTATCACAACAAATTACTCATTTTTATTGCACTTTCACCCTTCTCCAGCCCTGCCTTTCAAAGGCAAAAAATCCCTTCTGTAGTTCACACCTAGAAAGGAAGAACAGTAGCAGACATATATGCTAACTGACTTACTACCTTTATTATGACTTCTTGTAGACCAGACATTATTCTAACGTCTGATTTGACAGTGCTAATACATGGAAGAGTCACCAAATAAGCCATGCTTTAAACTGGTGAACATCAAAGACAGTAAAACAGAGTAGGCTTGAGTTATACTCACATTCACTATTTTCTAAGAAATAAAAGAACATATTAATTGTGTAACAATTTGCAAGTTTGAAAAAGATGCAGTACATAGACAACCTGATGTCAGAGTATTTGAGAAAGCTTGCACTTTGATCCCACAATGCACATGAAAATAAAGCTCAGTTAACATCTGTGACAAACCCTCACCATTTTAAGCTTATTATCTGTAACAGAATTCTCTTTTTTTAAATGAGACTTGAATACTCTACTCATGCTTACAACAGCTTCTAGTGTACAGGGATAGCCTTAGTTCATCCATGCAGTTATGCAACCAACAAAGCTCTTTAGGAACAAAAATGCATTTGAATACTGGAATGTATTCAATAACAATTTCGAAAAATGAGTCCAGAGGCTTTTGTTTCACTCTGGCTGCTGCAGGAGAGAAGGGTCAGTGCGCCAGTGAGCCTTTGCTGTAGAAGCTCTAACCATGACCAGACAGCATTGGGCACAGTGCACACCAAGGGTTCATTGTGAAGCTGACTGCTGAGGAATGCGCACTCCTTTTGCACACAACACCACAGCTCCTGCTGACTTCTGCATGGAAAACACTAAGCTTGTTCCAAAAACGCTAAGATGAAACTTCAATACTCCAGTACAAAAAGACAAAATGATTTTTTTTTCCCTTCTAAGTTCATAGATTTTTGTTTTTATGCATTCCATATGCACAACTGCTTTTACCACTGTCTTCTACAGAACAGTAACTGAATGTTTAAGAAGAGTAATTTACAACGTGCCACTTGAAAAAGACATTTGGCTTCTGTCATCTTTTTATAACATTTTCATTATTTTCATACAAATAATATGGTCCCTCTATTTTTGCACTGGGCACAGTGTACTTGCTACGGTACTTGCTTGTACTTGCTACCTGCTAAGGTGCAAAACCTTCATCCATGCAAATCCAGGTAAAACAAAGAAGCACATAATCAGGTCTAATGCCCCTTCCTGGCAAGGCAGATGAACAGAGAGGCAACACAGCAGTTTATTCCTAATTGGGAGGGGAGGAAGGAAGACAGATTAAAAATAACATTTGGAGTCATTCCAATAATTCTTATTTTTCTAAGCCCACAATCACATTGGGAAAAGGCTGTTTGTTTTAAAGTGACAGTATTAAGCGAGCATGTAGCAAAGAGGAACATATGTAGCCAAGCACCACCACGTATCCATTTCTGCAATTACCTAAACAATGTAAAGTTAGTTGTGTAAATTAGTTTAGGGGAGAAATATTAACATTGCAACATCCTCCCTAAAGGTAAACAACAAGCAATGTTTTAAAATTACATGCTCCTCCTAGAATCGTGTGAATACTGCACAGTACTGAAGCTATAAATTATTTTATGAAAATTTGAGTCCAAAGTTTGTTTTCCTCTCTTGTACTCTTAGGAAAAAAGTCTAGAAACAGAAAATGAACATTAAAGTATTTTGCAGCAAAGCTAGTGAAGACAGCATTGCTCCTTGGCTGAGATAACTGCCTTTACAGACTCCCATGAAGGCTCTGCAGGGAATGGTGCACCTGCCTCAAGACCAACCAGAAGCAGACCAGCTAGCTGAGTCTTTGTTCAACTATCACATGGCTGATTTATCACACTTGTCTCTATACTTACCCTCATAAAAGCAAACCCATTTTTACCACTGTATCATGCTTAGCTCTTCACCTTGAGCCAGACCACACCTTGGAGCCATGCTGTCTGAATACAAACTTCCTCTGTTAAACAGAGAGGGATTCTTTATGGTACACTACCACAAGCAAGGGGTGCTCTGTCAGTGATTTCCTCAACACAGCCATGCTTGTAAACACTTCACCAGATATGGGTAATAAACCTCCAAGTTTTCCTAAGCCAGACATTTGCTGCGCAGCACTTCCCTGTACGTGTATATCAATCCAGTGCTTAGCAGGTGCACCTCTCATGTGGAGCATGACTGTCCAGCAGATAGAGATATTTGTGCTATATACAGATCTATTAGCTCCTGCTGATCTCAGACTTAGAAGACAACACTGGAAAACAGACTCAGTGACTAGCACAGAACAATTAACAGAGGTCCATGGGTCTCAGGTCTGTCATTTAGCTAAACAGCCAACAGACAGTGCTTAACAACCAGGGTACACAACAAACAGGGGAGAGGCCCCTTAACACACAGCTTATTGAAAGGCAGGTACAAACTAAAGTTTCTGACTTCCTTCTCCTTTTCTGTTAGAAGTCTTAAATTCTCCCCTAATGTAATCCATCCAGGTAATCTTTATTGCATGAGTAATAATCCTAAAAAAGGTGACAACCAACTGGTAATCAGTAAGTATCACAGAAGCACTAGCATTAATCTGCAATTCTAAGGTGGAGGGAAAAATAAAAATAAGAAAATATTTACTTCAATTGTAGCCTGCAGAATTCAAGTTATTTGAGTGTCATGTTCCACTTTCAGTTATAATTCCTACAAACCTGGCTAAACAATGGCTGCTGAAAAAATACCTATCACTACAACAATTACATTCTTGATGGAACATCATTACGAGAACATACAAACAGTAAATTCTAATGCTTTTTTATATCTATGCACAAGGGGGAAGATATTACAGATTGTGAAGGCAGGTAAAATAAACAAGAATATTACTGAGCAGAAAGAACTGAGGAGAAATTCCTAGAAATACCAGAAATGTGTGTTTAGTATAAGTAACTTTCAGTTATCCATGCTTTAAAATTCAGTTCGAAATATTAAGAAAAAGCCATGACTAGGTAAGTCATGTAAAGCAGAATACATGAGTTTGATGGTACCAGAAATTCCTAAGACCTCTGTCAGTTCAATAAGGTACAGCTTCTCATCAGGTATTCCCCTACCTCAATTCAAACTTCTTCACAGTTTAACTTCTTGCTGTTTCAATTTTCCCACACAATTCTTAAGTGATAATATTGCTACCTTTATCCTCATGCAATAGAAGGAATATCAAGAAGTTTCTGGGCATAGAGAAGAAAAACTGTGGAAAGTTAATGCTATTCTCCAAGATCAACAGTGAGCAATTTTAGATGAGTCAGATGTTACTTGTCTCTTTCAAAACATGTATTTACTAACAGAGCTATAGCTAACACAGGACTACTCTGGGTTATAACCAAGTCACCTACAATTTGGGAAGCCAAAATTTCCTAAAGAACATACTTACAGATCATATGAGAACTTCCTCTGAAGGTTAGTCTGGTTCTTCTGAAACCAGTAAACATCCAGCTGTAGCTTTCCATATTCCGTCTGCAACTCTTTCAAGTGTTCTGGTCAAAGCAGCATTAAAATGCACATTAAGATACACATATACATATAGATTCTAAACCAGAAACATCAAGAAACAAATTTGCAATAACAATGCTAAATTTATTCATCTGTCATGCAAACTGCTTTTCATAAACAAATGCATAGATAATTGTTGAATTTATTCAGCAAGGGTGCATGGGATCTGGTAAGAATAACCTTTCAGCATAATATATTGGCAAAACAGTATAATACATATTTTTACCTACTTTTCCTCTTAAGGAATACACAGAACTGATATGCAAACCCTGCTAAGTTGCAGTCTGGAAAACCTTTACATTTGTGAAATCAATCACAGCACAATATAAAACAGCATTCACATTTATCAATCTTGCAATGTTTCCCTGAATAATATGTAATGTATACCCATGTTCCATAGCAACAGAGGCATCTATGATTTAGTGTTTTCTTCCTGATAGAAACCTCTGTGAGACAGCATCAGAAGACAACACCACAACATACATACTTCATAGGATTCATTCCCAAGTACCCCCAGAATACATTGCTAACAACAATTTTGAAACACTACCATGATTAGAAATTAATTAGACTGACTTTTTAAATTTAATATAGGATTTGTGAATTCCTCTGGTGCTAAAATGCATAACCCCACAGCTCAGGGAAGAATGCAAGAATATGTTGCCAGGTAAAATGAAGAAAAAAATGATGTAACTTAGTTCTATTTACGTTCTATCATAAGAGTCAGGAGTACTACATCAAGCACTACATAGACAAATCCTCCTACTACTGTGGCAGATTAGACTGACACTTAACTGGAACCTTGCAGATGAAATATCTAAGTCATAGCAGCTTCTGTACCGCCCCCATGACTTGAAGAAAGGCACCATTCTCATAAGACCACAGAAAAATCCAAGTCTTAAAGACAGGGAGCCTAAAAAATCAGTATGAGAGAGTCAAAGGGGTACCACAACATACCTCGTAGACTCTGAATCAGCCGATCATTTACTGTGATGTTACTCATCAGCACTGCCTGAAAGAAACAGAAAAAACTCCAGTGTTTTAATTGCAAAGGACCTGTATTACCATTATAAACAACACCTATCAAAGCACTTGTAACAAGATCTTCTTTTTGTGCGCCACAGTTCTGACACAGTTCAACAGTGTCACAGTTGAACAAAACCTTTTAGCTGCTTTAGAGATCTCCTACTGCAAACAACATTCACTTCAACCCAGATTTTCCAGTATAGGCGAGTGAGGGAAGATATCACCACACAAATGAAAAGAGGAAGAATTTAAAGGAATTTATAGATACTAAAATTGCTTGTCACTTTATTCTAATTTCATCTCATTACTGGAGTCACAGTCAGACTTTATTTATCTCTTGAAGGAAGAACACAACATCACAGCTCACAATCAATTACCCTCTCACTCAGGAATCAATACATATGTATTCAGGCATGCAAAGATAAGCTATGAAAGCATTCATCATTCAGCATAAAACAACTCCATGAAAGCAGTGTGAAACCCTTGCATTGTATCCCTTTTCTACCTTTCTTCTCGACTGCTTTCATGTTGGAGTGGCCTTCCTCCACTCCTTCACTTTGTTCGCCCTTTCATTCTGAAGAGGCAGTCAACATAGGAACATGTTTCGTCTATTCTTTCATCAATCTCCATCTACCATTTCATATACACACATTCCCCAAAACACATGAAAACTGAATCAAGTCATAGCTAAGTGAAATTATTCCTGTGAGGCAGATGCCAGGATAACTCAGATTCATATGCATAATTTAGCAAGTCTGGTGCACAAGAGTGCTTAAGAATACAAAAAAGAGAACCACCGACTCTTCAGAAACAATCCAGTACAGCCTTAGGAAGGCATTTCTCAGGCTTCATTGTCAGTTTCCCTACTATCCTTGTCCTGGGAAACCCTCAGGGTTCTTCAATGGTCCCAGAAAATCAACTCCTCTGTTTCCCAAAGTTTCTGCTCTAGTATTGATGTGTGTGTATGTCCACACCCAAAAAGAAGTTGCAGCATCCACTCTGTCTGCCCAAGTCACCCTGAAACATTGACAGCATTGTTGGTGCCTTTCTTCCCAAGGCTACAGTAATAAGAGCCAGCTGATTGCATGAGTGCAGCGTTCAATAAATCTGAGTGGAACAGGACCCAGCCGGGCAGTAGATTTGTCTTCGAATGACCCTTTAAAGAGTCACACTTCACAGAGGTGGTCATTCAGCTGTTGCTAAGTATTTCTACACCATTCTGTAGGTACAGCTGTTTTGTGAACACCACCATGAAACCTCAAGAAAAAAAGGTCATGCTGTAGCAAAAAGAAATTCAAAAAACAGTAACAACTTGTATGTAGGATCGTTTATCTCTCCCTCTCCTTTCTCACAGGATAGGTAAATAAGAAATTCACTCTTTTTCACTGGTTTATTAGGAAAAGGAAATTAATGTTTCACTGGAAATTCCTAGTTTTGCTATTGTGTGGACAATGTAGTCAGGTTGTTCCAGGATTACTACCTTCAGGATAATACAGCATTGGCCACTACCAGAAACTATCAGTGGACTAGAAAAATCAGCATGATAGAGCAACTTGTAATTGTATATTCTTAGAGTTTTTTGTGGGGCTTTGTTGGTTTTGGTTCTATTTATTGGGGGGAAAGGGGAGGGACTAGTGGGACCGAATGGGGGGGTCCTTAAAAATCAAACTCCTAAATTCCAGGATCACTTATGTGACAGTAAACATACAAGTGTTACATGTTTTGAACATTAGGACAATAATAACTGTGATTAGCTGAAGTAAGAAAAATTACTTTCCACATTAAAAAAAAGTCTCTTTGAATCACAGCAGGGAAAAAAATATGTCTGCCTTGGTCTCTATGGATTGCATATAAAACTTCCTTTTGGCAATGCCACACCTATCTCCTTGAAAATGCGGGCAACAGTCCAGGCAAAAACCTGTTAAATCCTAGTTAGCTGTTTAACTTGAGCAGGAAACACTGTTTAATAATTTACAGCACAGCACTGCAACTGCCACCTTCCAATCACACTAAGTCAATAACATCAGGCTTTCCATTCTTTTTCCTATCATTCAAGTGTTAACTAATTTTCACTTTGTGGCTGAAAATTAAGCAAACATTATTTACTTTTGGGGTTTTATGCTGGTCAAGAATGAAAACTGCTGGGAAGTACTCAGCAGACACATGCCAATACTCAGTTCTAGAAAGAAAATCACATTTTAAACTTCATTTAGCCCAGAAAACAATAGCTATAATCCCCAAGAGCAAAAAATCCAGCTTTGGAAAAATTCCCCTATTACCACACCAAAATCTGATATACTGTGATACAGTAAACCTATAATATAGCTCCAGCTTATTCTACTCATAAACATGTTTGCACAGAAGTCTTTATGACTACCAAAGAGGAAAAAACCAAATCTTTTGATTGAAGACAATGCTGTGGACAGCAGCGCTTCAAACATCAAAACTCAAAAGTCACACTTCCACCAGTAGTGTGGGAAACAAACTGCTCCAGCTGTACAGCAAATTTTTTAATAATAGCAGCTGAATTGTTTATTATTCACCACAGAACATGCCTACATAAGTATTATTCCAGTTAAGAGACACAAAGCTAAAGCTACTGTTTAAAAATAATCGAGCATAATGCAGAAATATGCATGAGGAAGCTTTGAGATAAATTATTTGAAGGGGTTTTTTTGAGCACATACTTGGGACTATGTAAATGCATTTGATCTGAATAATGCGGAACAGTATTCTCCATACACATATTCATTGGTGGTACTACTACAGTAACTCCTCCAGCATTTGCTACTATCAAGAACCAAGCTAACCCAAGCACATTGAACTGACATGTGTCCTTTCTAACACTGACTGTATGTGGTGGATGTAAAAGCATAATTAGCATGTATATAAAAGCATAACTGCAACAGAAAAAAGAAAGGAAATAGTTTGATAAGCATAAATACTAAAACTTAAGAAAAAAGGGGCTCTGCATACACAAATATAGCACAAAGGAGAAAAAGATAAGCCACAGAATCAGTAACTCAACTGGTAGGAACAAAACCAACTGTGAATAAAGCAGGATGGGAAGGTAAAATTTATACACGCAGAAACAGACATTTATAATTAACCAGGGAAAAGGAGAGCACTTATTTCATGATTAACTCAAACTGATTTAAGTCCTTCCATCACAGAGAAAGAGCGGCTCTGTCTTGCATGCTCCCAGAACTCCCCACACTACCCTGGCATTAGCATGAGAATAATGCTGGCAACACAATCACGTTTTAGTTACTGTTCAGTAGTGCTTGCACTCAGGCAAGGATTTGCCTGTTTCCCATGCCCTGCCAGCCAGCAGGTGCACAAGAAACCAGGAGGAAGCTCTGTCAGGCGTCCCAAACTGGCCAAAGGGACATTACTTACCACAGAACATAGGGACAGAGTGCAGGAGCTGGCCAGGAGGCATTGATAGCTGCTGGGGGACAAGTTGGGCAGCACCATTGGACAGCATGCACTGAGCAACTGGATTGGGTATATCTTGCTTCTGTTGGGTTTTACTCCTCTCAGTTATCAAACTGTTCTTATCTCAACACAGAGTTTTCTTCAAAAATCTAGAGGGAGATGTGGAGAGTGAGGAAGTCTGCATGATATTTACCTGCCAGCTGGTGTTAAAACATGAGAATTTACCACAAAAAGTCTTTTTGGTTCCAGGCCAAGAGACTAACAGCCAAACTATGTATCAATGTATGGGGAAAAAGTTGATAAATATGGTTTTAAGGAAATATTTCTCTTTAAAGTTCAGCATTGTGTTGCACACTCACTTATACTTCAGTGGAGGCACATCAATTAAGTAAGCCTTAGAACAAACTTCAAGATCAAAATGGAGGAGATATTGTTCATTGGAACCTATGTCCCAATAAACAGAATTCCATTCAGAAATTCCACTTTTCCTCAATAAACATAAAAAAACCCACCCAATCAACAAAAGAACCCCAAACAAATGAACAACCCATGCACCCAGCAAAACCCAAACCCAAAAAACCACCTCTGCTTCTACACAGTAGTTCTGCCAAAAATCTGAGACTCTACCTTGCATCACAGCCTGTGATAAAAGCAATCTAGGTTCTGTTTAGTCGCAGAGGACACAAGGACATGCACACCATGACATGTTGCAGTTCTGCCTTCAAAACCACCAAAATTGCAAAGTTAGTTTCCTAATGTTTAAGCACAAGAGGGTGGGTATTTGACACACACGAATACAAAATTACTATTACAGGTAGTGGGCAACAGCAAGTAGATTGGAGAAGAAAAAGCCTTATGAAACTACAGGACTTTCACTTCACTTTATTCACTTCCCCTCATTTTACATTTAACAAAAACCCAAATAGTAGGAAATGTAAGCAAAACAAAATCATATGATATGAGAATATTAACATGAAACTTCCACAGGTATATCTAATGCACCTTCTGACTTTTGTCCAATTATTTAGCTGTGAAGAGGTAGCAACATTCCAATAGTTAACTTCAAACTACATATGCACTAAATTCCCCCTCTTTGGTTTAGCTAGCCTCAGACCACCCTTTTTTTTTCCTTCCATCACGTGAAGATATATTTTGAACAGAGGTGATCTTCTAGACTTCTGTGTACCAGTTATGAGGAAGCATACTGACTTCCCTTGATAATTTAGTAATATTGTGCTGCAGCAAATATGGGACATGAGGCAGTGCTTTCCTACCTCAAAACTTTTCCAAAACTAGAACATGCAGCACTGTTTGGGTTGGAAAAAAAAAATCAACACCCAAAATATATATAGGCTTCAGTGAAAAGGAAAAGGTACCTTTCTACTCTCTCCTACAGACTACTGTAATTCCTTCTGAGTGGAATCGACTCCCTGCATACCAACAGGTACTTTGTGTCAGAAGACTGCTAGGAATTGAAATTTTCCCAGAGGGAGGGGACCAGAGAGCAGCTGTGGCCAGTGTTAAAAGATACTGAGCAACAGGACAGTGACATGCTTTACATAGAACATACAAATCTTGGCCCTTCACAGTAAAACAAGATTTGGGTAGGAGAAGATTTATGTAAATCCAAAGAAAACTACCAACTGCAAAATCATACTCATGCACTTCACAGATATTAAACACATTGTTGCCCTGTTATGCTCCTCAAAGAGACTTCTGTGGCTCTGTAAATCCCAGAAGCTGCAAGTCCTGAATAACAACCACATAGAATATACAGATTAGAAACAGCCTTTTTTCACTCCTGAACTGTTGTTATTGAGTGTTCAAGTAAGACTACCTGGTCTCATCACTCTACTTCTGCATGGAATAGCAGAAGCCATTTCCTAAATCTACACTAATCCTTAAAAATTCAAGCAGGGTTTTTAAAAATAGACTGGGGGCAGTAGTGTTTCATACACACTCGCACCTAAGAAAATAACTACAACAGTAATTTGCCAGAACTACACTGCCCCAGCGAATGGTGAGCCCACACAAGCATAATACTCCATATTACAGTGTAACAGGCTCAGACTACCAACCTTCTATGCCCTCATCCTTCAAGCAGCACAGAGACAGTTCTACTACAAAAGAAGGCAGATTTAACTCAAAGTGATTACTGCACTGCTAGTGACAATGACTTTAACTGAGCAAAACATCTTACTGGTGTTTTGGTTTGGTATGAAAGTAAATCAGTACTGCAATTATTCTGTGTTTTATCACAATGAGCAGAGATGAACTGCAGTTATGATGTGTCTCAAATGTTACTTGTGGCTTGCCCTTGGTTAGAAGTCCAAATTGTGTGTCTCTCATATGTGTGTTTCCTCTACAGACAAAAGAACTGTAATTTCTTCCTCAAAAAGTAGAAGGTTTGAGAGGGACCAGTCATTCCTACAGAACTGCTGAAAGCATTTTATTTTTAAGAACACCAAGAACTATGCAAACTCTTATTTACGACTCGAAGATCTCTAGTTAGCTATAGTCTGTAAAATGCTTGTAAAGTGGGTTGAGAGTCTCAGGATTTAGATTTGCATTCATTCTTCCTGACTAGGTAAATACTGGCCACTAATTCTCACAGAGTAAATGTTCAGTTCAAGGAGAAAGCTTCCCACAATCAGAAAGGGTGAATTCATTACTTGCCTCCCAGGAATCCTAGATTCCACTGGAATCTATGGAGCCAAAAAACAAGGATATATGCTTATATCCTGTATATACCTTCCTATCTTATACACTCAAGATATGAACATACAAAATACATATATACACGGACAGAGATACACACAAACAAAAAATCACTCAGATGCTGACTTTTCTTATATTCCATATCCCTCTGTAAAATAACCTCTGATCCTAGACAGCTTCTTCCAATAAAGGTTATTAGTGAGCAGAATTAAGGTTTCCCTATCTTCCCTGCCACCCTATCCGAGGCATTCCTGAATGACAGTGGATGAATCCATAGCAACTTGGCTGATGTCTTCTTTTGACAAATGCACAGCTTTCCAGCAAAACAGCTCTCCCTACTCTTAAACTAGAGCTGGAAAACAAACAGCATATCCACAGGATATTTGCTGTGTGTCACAAGAGAAGCAAATTTTGAATTTGATACAAAATGGTGCACAGGCACATACCTGCTCACCCTACCAATTGAGGCTCCTGAGTGAGACACATGCTCTTCTCCAGTCACAGAATGCAGAAGTCAGGAAATTAGTCCAATGCACCACTTCCCTAGGGTATAACTTCCTGGGGTTTCTAAGCAAGCTTTATAGACTGAACAACTGTATTTTAGGGAGATAGAGGGAAAAGAATTTAGGAGGCAGGAATTTCAACTACATTGGCCCCAAAATCTACCTTTCCCAGCATCCCACCTCTAACACTGAAAAGCCAAATGAATTCCAAGGCAGCCATAAAGCACAGTATTTTCCAAGCAGCAGCTGCCTGTCTGAGGAACACATGGAGATAGAGCAAACACCTTGGAAGTGGGTTAGGTGTTTGTCCAAGGCCATCCAGTTGCTCGTTAACCTACACAGACCCACTGTAACTGGGTATTATGGATGCCACACACTTGCAGCTTCACCACCTATTGCATGAAGAGCACTACCTTCTGCTCAGTCTGAACTACAACTTGATCATGGCATTTGAGGCACATCAGTGAATGCAGGACAACCCTGCCTTTCCTCTCCAGCCACAAATATTTTCTGTACCATTTGGAATCCTGAAGGTGACTGTGATGATTCTCCTCTGCTGACCCTTGTCCAGCCTGTAAATCACACTCTGGATTCCTGTAGAGAAACTACTGCACAGATTTGGTGACCTTTGCTCCCCTCTCTATGCATTTCACAGCACTTCAAAACTCCACTGGTAACCCCCTCCACAGTACAACAATCAAGCCAGTGTAATTCTAAGCTGCTTTGTAACTTTTGCCTTGTCATTCACCCTTGCAATACCGCTGTCTGACCACACGGCTGCATAATATCTCTACAAGCCACTTCAACTCCAGGTGTGAACGTGTTCACTTCTCTCCCTCGCCTTTATCACCAGCTCTTTCAAGAGAAAACTCCAAGATAACTCAGAAGAAAGACTTTCTTTTCCAGAAGCCACATTGACTCTTCCCCAGACACCACATTCCACCCCATGTCCAACAGCAGTTCTAGTTCTGTAAAACACCTGCTACTACTTCTCCTGGCATGGAGGCCACATTTTATGAACAGTTCCTGTATGCCCACTAGGCTGAAAAACACCACAAGGAAAGTGGATTGCGTGCTGTCACCTAACACTCATCTGATGCCAGAAATCTGAAGCAAAAAGATGGCACATCATGTTTGGCAGAAGCAACATTTCATTCACTAAACTTTCTTAAAACTCCTAGATGAGGTCCTGTCACCATCTCTCAACACCTACCCCTCTTTGCTAGCCAGTGCTGAAAATTCTCTGGCCAGCCCTTTCAGTGTCTTTTAGCAGATCTGGCAATACCTGCCTATAGAAAGGAAGCATAATACTCCATTACATTTGCCCTTTTCTTACCTTTGAGTTTTATTTTTTCCACTCGTGCATGTGTTTTCACTCCCTGTAGGACTGAAGCAGAACGCAAGAAAATGCCACAGCATTCAGGAGCAACACCCAATAACAGGAGGCAGAAGTGACAAGATTTGATTACTTACTTGAATACTGTCCGAATATTCTGAGATATCTTTTTGAAAAATGCACACATTGAAAAAAATAAACAGACAAACTATACCTCATCTTTTTAAAAGTATATGCAAGGACTGAACATAGGGAGAAGAGAGAAATTATCAAGGATACAGGTTTGTCTCAAAAGAGGTAAAAATAACTGGTTTATTATTTCCTGGAAGACTTGGAGTAAAGATTATTTCAAAATAAACTAATGATGTATGACACTGATGCACCCATTTTACCTTCCATTTTTAATCAATTTTTGTTCCTCTAAGTTCTTCAAAGATTAATCTGGTTATATTTTTCCCAGGCAACACATTTTGAGGAACAAACCATTCCCTTACAGTGAACCTGCTACCTGAAGAGTACCTATCATCATCACAAGATGTGACTGTTCAGCCTTCTAAAGGTAATAGTCCTGAAAAGCTGATCTATAAACTTCAGTCACTAGACTCTATGAGAGAAGCAATTGAATACTCTCAACTAAATGCTTCTGTGAATAGGGAGAAAATGGATATTGCTGACTAGCAACTGCAATCAAAGTGGTATCTGCAACACAAGCAAAATACGCAGCAAACCAGTTTGCAAAATACTACACAGCAGGAATCATACACACTGCTATCTAAATGGATTTGTTCACATTCTTCACAAAAGAATACCATTCCCCTGGTGAAGCTGAACTGTCAGGAGCACTGCCGTGAAAGTCTCACCTTCTCATATCTTCCCAATACCATTAAGTTTTTGAGGCAGAAAGCCAAGATGACACAAAATTTGTAAAGCATTTAGAAATAAATGTCAACCATTTATGCTTACAAATATATTTGGGAATATATCTCTTAGTCCATCTTCCTCTTTTTCCTAATTTTTAAAACATTACTGTACAGGAAAGAAAGTGAAGGGACAATCCACGTATGGTAACAATTTATAGAGAGGATAAGAGTTTTATTCAGAACTGCTGTTACTTGCACTTTTTAGTATTTCAAAATTATACAACAAATGCTAAAATGTCCATTCAAGGTCATTTTCTCAATATCATACAATATAAAATGTTTTGCCACACCAGCATTGTCTGTAAGCTGCAATTGTCTGTAAAATGTTTTGCCACACCAGCATTGTCTGTAAGCATTGTCTGTAAGGTGCAACGTGAGCACCACTTCCTACTGCAGTGTGCATCTTGGTAAACTACAGTCTCACAGAAAACCATGGCTAGGAAAAGCCCTACCTTCTCTTCCTGATGTGCTCTGTTCGCATTTTCCATCTGAAAGCTGTGCAAGGACTGGATTTTGTCAATCTGCTGTCGCTGCTTCTCTAGCTCCCCTTGGAATTCATTCTTTTTTTGTTCCACAGCACCCCTCTCCGCTGCTGCCCTGCGGACTTTGCCTTCCAGATCCATGACGCGACCCTGAGGAAGAGCAGATTAGCCAAAGCAATCAAAAAATGCTTCCCCCTTGCCGGAATCTTGTCCAATATATTCAAGGAATAGCAAATTTTACAGCGCTAACAATGCAGATATCACAAAAGTCCTGTGTCAGCCAGGGATACTAGTCATACACACACACACACACACTTCCATAGTTTTACATAAATTAACAGGAGTGCATATTTTGTAAAGACTCTAAAATTTCTGTTAAAGATGAGAAAAATTAAAAGCTCAGTACTTGAGCATAAAAAAAACCCCAAAACATAAACATAAGAAAGATTAGAAACTACAGTCTTTCTGAAGTCAAGGTCAAACAATTTTTTAAATTTAGCCCATACAATTGTGACAGCTTTACACTTCTCAGCATTGACCCCAAACTAACTCAGTGTGGAAACTCAGCTCTCAAACCAATCTGATTCCCTGGAAGAGCTAGAAAAGAGTAGAGGGAGGACAACACTGCCCAATTTTTACATGAACAATTCACATATAGCTATTATACAAAGACATATATGAGAAAAATCCATTCATTCATAAACAGAAAATCATCATTCCTCTTGACTGCTTAAAGAACATCTACAGTCAGAATAAAATTCAACACCATCACATCTTGTAAGAGACATAAGCTAAGGAATCAAGCCTCATGTTTTCACATTCTTTCCTCCTCCCTCCGCCCCTCTTGTTTGTAGGTACCAATTTAGTTTTGCAGGACGTTGTTTCTAAACATTTTGGGTTGAAACTGTTCTTCACAGCAACTAGGAATACAAAAACATGCAGGGGGCTGGGGATATCAACAGAATGAAAAAAGATCTGGTGATTCCAGGTGGACTAAAAATTAAATATAATAAAAACTGCACATGTTCCAAGACTCCAAGAAAATGTTCCAAATCTCCTTACACCACGTATGCAGTATGTCATGTCCCATCTACCCTGCCTCTCTGCCACAGAAATAAAGAAAAGAGAGAGGAGTCAGAGGAAAAAAAAAAGGAAAATTACTTGCAGTTTAGCTGGAATAGCAAGGAAAAACACTCCTTCCATTTCAGTCATAACACCTGCAAAATCCTGCCAACAAACAAATGGATCTAGAGAGAGCTTCAGAAGCTCCATCCATGTTCAGCTATGCTTTTATTCCATTCAGACTGTGTGATCATGCCAAATTGAAGTAATTTTCAGGCTAACTTTAGCAGAAATGTGTAAGATGGTACAGTGTACCTGTAGTAGTATCTGAGGACCTTGTGTCTCTAGGTTATGAAGACCAAGATGAATCTGTGGCATATTTTTCTCTCTATCAGCTGCTTCATGGCTGTGCAGCAAGACTTCAGTAGTACTGACACAGTTACTACCCACTGGTAGCCACCATCCTGAGGCCACTGACTGAGGGGAAAGCAAGGGATGACCAGGGTCTCAGAAGTCATAAGACACACCCTTAACCACATGGCCAGACACAAGTGCCCTGGTTTGAATACTGCCAGTTCTGAGGTGAAAGAAACAGGAGTTCAACTCCTTCTGTTGACAGTACTCAGCTTTCCACTCAGTACTAACATTTGGCTCAGTTACAAAGACCATGCAAATTCACTGGATAAACTGGGAAGGAGCTTTCATGAGCCACGTTTAATCAACATGTTGCTAGTTTTTAGGTCAGCTTGTTAAAAACAGTAACAAAAGAAAAGGAAAAAAAAAGAAAAAAAAGAGGGGGAAAAAAGTAACTGTCCTGCAGAGACTGTCACAAATCAGAAATTTGACTCACATATCCTATATCAAATGGTCCAGAACAAATGGTCCAGAAAGGATTAAAACCTAAGCTCAACAGCCACAAAAAATACAGTTATCATCAGAAAAATATAGTTATCATCAGGCAAGGTAATTATTACATGTGACTTGTATGTTCTTCTTCAGAAAGATCACCAAGAAACACAAATTCAGACTTCGTTTCTGAACAAGCCAGATTTCCTTGTACAGTATGCATACAATGCTATTGGTCATGTACAAAGACAAATCTAGGAATATCAGTGTGCTAGTTTTGACTGGGATAGAGTTAATTTTCTTCACAGTGACTGGTATAGGGCTCTGTTTTGGATTTGTGATGAACACAGGGTTGATAACATAAAGATGTTTTTGTTATTGCTGAGCAGGGCTTGCAAAAGCCAAGGTCTTTTCTGCTTTGTGTACTGCCATGATGGCAAGGATGTTGAGGGTGCTTGGGAGGGGACAAAAGAGGATGGCATTTATCACATCTTTAATGTGAAACAGCACAAGACAGCTGAACGTTTTGTGAGAGCAGAAGTAACAAGTATCACACACGCAGGTGTGTTCAAGTTTTGGGTTCCTCTCAGGTACAAATAGGCATTCGTCCCATTTCCCCACTACTGATAAGCAATGACTATAAAATTTGTGGAAGTTCATACAACAAGCTGAAGTTCCTGGCTTGGCACATGAAGGAGAATCATCCTTCTCGTGAACTATGTTTACTACTTGCAGAAGTACAAAGTGACATGCGGATCAAAAGGAACATTACCTGCAGATCCATGCTGCGAGAACTTGCAACCCAGTAATTGAAACCCAAAACAATTATGCACGCCACAAGCGCAGCCACGAGGAGTGGTGGAGACTTCATCCCACGACAGCTGTTTCCTAGTCCTACCATTTGAAGAAATGAACAAATCTGAAGAATCACAGCCAGTAGGGAAACCTGCAAATTAAAAAGGGCACATTGTACTGCATCCCAAACTACAGCTATTTTATACATACAATAATGTATAATACAGCCTATCAGCTGACTGCAAACAGTAATGCAACAGCTGTCAGCTGATAGGCTTACACCCAGCAAGGAAGGTAAATGTACTAGTGTTGACCTGTCTAGATATTTGCATCTGAAAGACAAAGAAAGGTCATCTTAGCATATACACTATTAGCTTGTACACAAAGCCTCGCACGCTCTTGAGGGAGATGTCTTGAATGCTCCTAACAATATAATGCAAATCTGCAATAAACAGAACCAGCCATTTTTTTATCATACATCTACCCAAAAATCCATGCAGAGAACACTGGGGTCGACAACAGATTGCTTTTTACCTAATTTACTCAGAAAATTAATTTAGTCTTGCTGTTTGAAGAGTAATTCTCTTTGAAGAGTAATTTGCTTTCTAAAATTGGACTATTTCAACTTATTCCATCTGGCACTACTATTCTAACTTCTTATTCCTGAGCCTGTAAATAAATACATAAATAAGACTGAACCAAATTATTTAAAGGAGAACCTAAAAATAACAATTATTACAAATATGAGCAGACACTCCACTGATTTCAATGTTACATGGCATTAAGTGTTCTCCATTTTGATGCCCAGCTGCTTCCTCTGCTCCTACAGAAAATAAATCATGAATTAGCAGTACCAGGGATACTACTGGTTGTTATTGAGATTTGTGTTATTTCTGTGAAACAGACCATCTTAAAAGATAGGCAGGGGCAAAGGGTAGCTGCAATTCTCTTTGAAATAAGCCACATTGATTTTATGGTGTGGTGATATCTGGTCTTAATAAGCCTAATGGCACCTAGCTTCATTAATCCTTAAACTCCAAGGAATCTTGGCTGCAGTTTGTAGACGATTGCTTCCTTGTAAACTGAGATTAACTTCTTTTCTTTCTGCACTCCAGCAGTGAAAAGACAGAAAAAATAAGCACAGAAGACCAGGCAGTCAGCAAATATATATGCATCATAAGACACTAGTTAAATCCAAAATGCATACATTTACTAGTAATATATTGTACAAGCTCTCAAGGTACATATTTTTAAGTGAAGCAACCTCTTCCCTACTATTGCAACACACAAGTGGCAATGTTTTAGAAATTAATAAATGGTAGCAACTCTCAAAGGATTTACATGTGAACATACACTGTAAGCACAGGGGAAGAATGTGATGCCAGCATTTCACAAGTCCCAGAAATGCAAATTCTATCGTACATCCAGCACTTAAGTCCTTCAACAGCTCACCTATACCTCAGTGTCCACATGCATTCTCTGCAAAATTCCCTCTCTGCAGTCAAGATAGATTATAACTTCTCGTTTCTCAGCAGACAGTGCATAATACTGTCAGATTCACAAAGGTTTCCAATCTGTGTGTTCATTTGAAAAGTTTCCTAATTTGAATTTGAGGATGGAACATACAGAGCATATAAGAGTAAAATGCAGCTTCATGAAAATGTTGCCTCTTCATAAACACCCACGCACACCACAAAACAGTCCAAAGAAGTCTAACACTTGAGACTTGAGTTTCTTGCCTAAAGGAAAACTCAGCTAAGGCACAAAGGGACACATGCAGCACAGCTCCAGAGGACAGCCACAGGGCCACATACAGATAAGCAGGGTCAACACTAAGAAGCAAAGGCAAGGAAAGGAACCATGTTGTTTGGATTTTTTTTTCTTGTAATGCAAAAAATTAACATGCAGTAGATTAAAACACACACAGAGACATGCACAAATTTCCAGTAGAAAGCTATGAATTGCAGAAACACACACATCTTGCACAGACTATTATCCTACCGTGTCATCCTAAAAGAAGCACCTGAGAAGTACAGGGCCACCATGTCATACACATGACCCCTGAAAACCAAGAACCCCCAATCTCCAGAGCAGCAAAAACGAGAGCACAAAGGGCACGATGGAGTTAGCACTGCCATCTCAGCAAAGAACAAGAGAATCTATTTACTTTTGCATACCAGAATACAATACTGTATTTCAAAAAAGGTCTGTCAGAACCCATTATGAAGTCATCTGTATCTTGTTGTCTGCTGTAATAGTAGGTACACCTGACACATGGAAAAACTTCAAAGAGCACTGCCAAGATGCAGTGATTCATTCTAAGGGAGACTTGAATAAAATAACTGGTATTTTCCTCATAGCTGTCAGAAACAGAGAAAACAGTTCACATTATCAGCAGTAACAGCTTGCACTGTAGTTATCTACTAGATAAATATATGGGACTAGCTGTTTAGTTCAAAAATTTTCAGATGTAAAGCAACCATATTATTCAAGGAAAGAATGATGAGTTCTCCATGCAGCTTAAAGCACAGGCACAAAGCCATGCTAAAAAATGCCAATACACCTAAACAGTAGACAAATCCGGCAGCATCTGTTTTTCTGCTTTTTCCACCCGTTAAAAACAAACAGGCAAATAAGTGCTGGTTTCACTAAAGCATGTTTGACTTCAGTACATTGCTCTTTCTAGAAAACAGCAGTGTTGTTTACCCATAAATAATTTATATTAATTAGGAATATATTTTTATAGTGAACAGAAGGAAAAGCAAAACGAAGAAGAAAGGCATGAAAGACACAGAAGGCTCTTCTGTTCACACACTGCAGACCCAAAACTTTTTCTCAGCTGCAATATCAATATTCCCTCTCTTGTTAGTTTAAAAAATAAAAATTGTTTAACTTTCTGACATGGGTACACATACTCACATATTCTGGAAGAGAGATAAGCAAATCAGCTCAATAAGCACATCTACATGAAAACCTGTTTGCACGGGCTGTTTTCCAGGAAACATCTGGTCTGGCACAGTTATTTGAGTTGGATTTCAAATAAGTTTCTGATCTTATGGGTAAGAAAGCAATTTTACTGAAGACGAAATCCAACAATGTCCGTGGCAGATGTAAAAACAAGCATATTCGTAAAATTCCTGACTTCTGAACAGAAGATTCCATCCTTCTGCTTTTCCAATCTAGTGGTACTTCATTGAGGAGATGTTTTAGACCGAGATATTCAAGCAAATTAACACACAGCATACTTTTCCTTCCCACAGTAAGCAATTCTTTCTTTTTGCGGTACTCAGCTGAAGTAGGATATCTGGTATCCAGCAATCTTTTACTATAGATAAGCAGCAACGTTGCCAACCAAGCCTCAAGACGAATACACTAGTTCTAAAGACAAAACAAAATGGTGCATTTCAGACTCCCAGAAGGAAAGCCAAGTCTCTCTACTCACCAGGGTTCAGCTCTGGGTACTTCCTTAAGACCCATCAAGCAGAAACAACCAGAAAAGGTGAAAAATTCAATAGAAACACAGCAGACAGTGTAGGAAAAATGTTCCCTTACCCCCCACCAGCACACCTGCCTACCAACCACCTCCTCCACCATCCAGCCACTGCGTGGTACAAAGCCAGTATAAGCCAGAGCAGCATCTAAGGACAGACCACAGCCAAAGCAGCCACCGAAAATTGAAGGCACAGCTTCTTGGAGGTCTGAGTACTTGCAACTCTGAGTAAGGACAAAGCCTTACTGAAGCCCCTGCAAAAACCAGAGACAAGAGACAAAAAAAAGAGAAAAAAAGAAAAAGTCCCAACAAGGACCTAAGGGCTAATGCACAGCATAGAGGTCACACAATCCCATCCCAACCAGACTGGACCAGAATGGGGAAACTTCTTCCATACCAAGGGAGCCCCTCAGACAGTGCTGCTTTCCCCACCTATTGCAAACTCTTTTCCAACCTCCCAGTGAGCTTCTGAAGAAATCACTGTGGTTTTTTTCCACTATTATCATGAAATTCCTATGTCTGACTGCCTGAATTAAAGCACAGTGTATTAACCAAACAAGTTAATCAAAACATCTTCCATTGACAAGTTAGTTAGGTATACCCAGATACAACTAAATCAGACTAAAAGGTATTAGAACTTGAATTTTATTTTAAAAATAAATAAATGAAACTGGAAAAATAAGTAATTCTTAAAAGAGTGAATCAGAGAGCAAACATTTGTGTGCCCGGTCTTCCAAAAATAAAGGTGACCATTTTTTTGAGTGGGCAGAAATGGAGTGCAGAAAAAAGTGAGTCAAAACCTTTCAGTTTTCATCTTATAAATGGTTAATACACAGTAGTGATTATCTTTGAAAGATAAATCCAGCTTGTTCTTACTCACAGCAGGATCTTACTTACAAGTACCACTATTCACAGCCCCATGGTGAGAACCAGCTATAGCCAGCAGCAACCTTTATGCTTTCAAAGTTGCACAGACACCCTGTACACAGGGCTCAAGGAACTGTACACAGTCACAAAACAGAGCATGCAGATTTCTTATCATCCTCCGCAGCAACACTGTCTGAGACGTTCTTCCTTTCAAATTTGCAAGTTAAAAAAAAAAATCAAACAAATATTTTTCCATTGGAGATTTAAAGTTTGGGCACTGAACTCAAGCCGGCTGACCACAAACTTCCTATATGCCTTTCACAGGGATTTACAAACTGCAGGAAAAAAAGAAAAGAAAAAAACACTGAGTCATTCAGCGACGGCCGCTACTCAAACTTCTATACCTTGGATGAATGTCACAGAGTCACTGTTCACCAAAATCATCAAGCTACACTCTTTACAAGAAGGGAACGGCATTTTCACCACAACACATTCAGCAACTCCACTCTCATCCTGCTCAGGAATAACCATTTATTTGATAGTCAATTCAGGTGTCAGGTCTTCCTTTTCTAAAGCATTCTAAAATAGAAGTAACAGATTAGAAAACTATGAAAACCCTAAAAATACACTATCTGTCCAAGGATAGGGTCATTGTTACCACTTGTTCACTAATCATATTTCAGCTCAAGAAGTCTCTCCTCATTCAAATGACTGCTTTACAAGAAGCTAACAGCCAAATACCCTCAATGCCCTTAATCTGATTAAAGAGAATTCCCAAACAGGTATGCAGCAAAACAGAAGCTAGAGGTTTAAAGTAGGTATCTATCCCAATGACAGAAGTTGGCTAACTAAAAACAACTTGATAAAATGTTCTAGAATACCTGGACATGTTGGCCAGGTGAAGTTTTTGATACCAGTATTACCACTGAAAATAATGTGTATGAAAACAAAATTAAACAAGCAAACTTATATACCTGAACTATCTCAAGAGTTAGTCAGACCACTCACTTATTTTTATGTATATATTTTGTTGCTGGTATATTTCCCATACAACATGAACTAGCTTTTTAACATCACAATTAACAGGACACTCACGTATCTTAAATGGAGATTATGAAACAGAGTTACAGTAAGTTTAGATTTTTGATTGAAAACTCAGTAAATTGCTACCATTTCCCCACCACTACAAAACTACACATATGGTTTAACTGCAAAACATGGAGACCTCCCACTAGAAGTGAAAAAAAAAAAAATCAACTGTATAAATAGTTCTTCAGAAGCAAAGTGCTGTCAAGATGTAAGATGAAAGGCCATTCAAAAAAAAGTCAATTCAAGAGCAAGATTTTCTAAAAACCTGATCAACTCCTATCTTCATGCTGATAAGGGAGTCCTATGAAGTAAAACAACTCAAACCTCCTGCGTGTAGGGGATAAACACACCCAATATCCGAACCAAAATTTCTGAAGAGGTAGGGGTAACACTTTTCCAAGCAGAAGCGGGAAGGCCTCTGGAGGCACGAACTTTTCCAAGTCCCTGAGCAGCGGTAAGGCCTCCGCAGCCCTGCCCGCGGGGAGGGAGAGCAGGGCTAGCTCGGAAGGAACAGGAGGATGGTCAGCAATCTCAGGTCACCAGCCCGGCTGCGACATACCAGGGGACAAAACTAGTCCGACCCTTTCCGGGCAAGGTAGCCGGGAGGAGGTATCTCACACCTGCGTTGATTTCGAATACTATTATTTCTACCTCCGCGGCGAATATTCAAAGATGTTTCCGGCTCAAGACCCTTCAGAGGGAAGGCTGGCTGAAGAAACAACGAAACACTATCAGTGTCCGGCAAGCACACCAGTTAAGCCCTGCCACGCCGGCCCGGTACCTCTGTGAGCACTGCCGGCGGCGAACGGCGAGTGCCCGCGGCACGGAGCCCGCGCAGAGCCGCCCCTCACCGCCCTCACGGCCGCCCGCGAAACACGCCCCGCGCCGGGGCCACCGCTGGTCCCCCACCGCCGCCGGCCGAGACGAGCCGAGCCCGGCGGGGCACAGCCGGCACAGCCACGGCCCGGCGCCTCGCACCCCGCCCGGCGGCCTCACCTCGCTGTGCCGCCAGCTGCGGCCCCGCCAAGCAGAACAGCGAAAGCCACTCCGCCGCCTCTCGTTATCCCCGCCGCCCGCGGCAAAGAAGAGCGGCGGCAGGAGGCCGGCAGGGCGGGGCGCAGGGCCAATCCCGCCCCTCGCAGTCCCGCTGGCGTCTCCGGCCGAGAACTGCCCTGAGCTGAATGTCTGTCCCGGCCTGTGCCACCGTGCGCCCTCCGCCCGAGCCGCTCATTCCTTCACCAGGGCTTCTGCTGAGTTACAGATTTCCTGTCTTGACCACAGGAGCTTCAGTTCTGGAAAGCGGCACGTAGGCGAAGCTGAGTGTCCGAAATCAGAGGTGGAGCGGCAGAAAACTCAGGAAGGCTGTTTCAATATCTATTTTTGACAGCCAAATGGATGATGCTAGTATTTTATTCATTTTAAAAGAAGAAAAGTTATTCAGTCTGTTTATTACATGGTTGCCATTAACTCAGCTGGAGTTTCCACCATCTAGGTAGAATCATAGAATTGTTTAGCTTGGAAGGAGCCTTAAAGACTATCTAGTTCTAGACCATGGGCCTAGAACCTCTTCCACTAGATCAGGATGCACAAAGCCATGTTCCAAACTAGCCTTGAACACTGACAGGAGTGATGCATCCACAACTTCTTTGGGCAACCTGTTCCAGTTACTCACCACTCTCACAGTAAATAATTTCTTTCATAATTTGATGATTTGTGAGGATTTCCTTTCTAAATTTCCATTCTTTCGGTTTGAAGCCATTCCCCTTGTCACATCAATGCAGTTTCTAATGAGGAGACCCTCTCCAGCTTCCCTGTAGGCCTCTTTCAGGTACTGGAAGGCTGCTATGACATCCATACAATCTTCTTTTTTGCAGCCGCAACTTTTTCAACCCAATCTGCATGTTGCTTCTGCATTTTAGCTTTTGCAAGTGGAAGTTTAAAAAGCAGAATCTAAACAGTATAAAAAATCTAGTGAAGCAGCAATTGTAGGTGCTGGAAAAAGCAAAATTTTTTATATATATATATATATATATATGTCAATTTCTACCTGAAGAAAGACCACAAACTTAACAAAAGCAACCTTCTACATATCAAAACATAATGCCAAATATGAGGTTTTCTTCCCGTCTTTGAAGACTGTTTAAAAGTTGGTCAATGTATATTATATATTTTTTAAAACAACTCATACAATAGCTTTGTCTAGACCAAAACTGGAAAATTTTCTTACAAGTACACAATGGATCACATCCCACTAGTTAGGGAATTAGTTGATTTCCAAGTGCGATCTGAAATACTAATAAAAAAGGCATCATTATCTTAAAAAATAAATAGCCATGCATTTTAGCAAAGAACTAACAAAAACACAAGGGCACATCTACATATGTTACCCTGCCGAAAAATTAAGGGTCTTAGCATGGTCCCTTGGGACCAGTACTAGAAGCGATGTACTGCTGCCCCTGAAAAGTCTAGAAGTAAAGCAATTAGCAGAAGTCTTCTGGAGGTGTATCTCCTGAGTTATTTATATCTGAAAGAGAAGGGGCAACTCTCACAAGTTTGTGGAAAAAATAGATTACCTTGAACTATATTTTATTTAATAACATGCTGCCTTTTTTTTTTTTCTTTTGCCAAATGGTAAGATAAACAAATCAAATTTTTCTTACTCTTTCACTGAAAAGCATATCTAACTAGAAAATCCAATACTACTTCTTTTCCCTCATAACTACTGACATCGTTCTGGTAGAATATAATTGTTAAAACAGTTCACAGAACCACGGAATTGTGAGAGCTCTGGATATCATCCAGTTCAACCCAAACTGTGTCCAGAGAGCTGCTGCCACACATGCCCAGAGATTTCTAGTTCTTGCTTATTCCCCACACTCTCTGCATTTGTGTACAGGCATATCAGGGAGGTAATCTAGCACCTAGGGTCCCTAGGAGAGGTGTAACAGAATTCCCCATAACAATACGCACCCTTGATCTGAATAGCCTTATGATTCTCATTTGAGAGGAGGCCAAGGTAGCACTGGTTGGCATGGCCCACTCTCCAGGAAGAAGTAAAGCCATAAGCATTGCCACTTTGGACCCCACAAGCCATTCAGGGTAAAGCTTATCTCACCAAACTGACCAGTCTGCTGCCAAAGATTTTCTTTCTCTTTTTAGACAAGTAGATCCCATCTCTCCCTAACAGGCTACAGTCATTAATGTTCAATCCATTGCTAAAAAAGCCAAAGCCTTCTTGATGGCACCAGAGATGAAGCCAGACATTGATCTGCACTATGCCTCTACTTCTGCCTTCTTCAGTTGTGAGATTACCCTCTGGACACCCATGTAAAAATTAATTTCAGAAAATCATTTTCAGATAGCAGACAAACTAAAATTCAAACTATTCAAGAAAGACATTAGTCATGTGTTGGTGAGAGTAAAGTCAAGTGTTTTACTATACTATTACTTCTAAAGATCCCAAGAAACAGGAGTCTAACTTCCTATAGTGAAAATGGAGTTCAATGTTTAACATATTCTCTTTTTTCTACATAGCACTAACTTAAATTGCCAGACATCTTTGTCTACTGTTGACCTACTTTATCCATGCAATGTCATGCATTGTAGAGTTTGAGGATCCTGCCTTTGAATTATCATAAAAGAATGACAGTGGAGATTTTTTGTTTTGTTTATTTTTCAAATTTCACTAAGTCAGAGCTAAACGCCAAAACCAAAGAGGGCTGGGATGCTGAAGACAGCAGCTGAAAGATGGATGATGTCCTCTGCTGCTGTCTTCTGTTTTCAAAGGTGGACATCTGAAATCCATGTTACATTCTTCAGAGGTACTGAGCATATTACAGGATCTGAAAGATCACATCTGCCACAACTTTCTCAATAGCAGACAAAAAGTAATATACGGGATTTCTCTTCCTCTGCACAACATGTGTGCATGTCCATTTTTAGTGTGTGGTGACTTCTGGGCACATCCAAGGTCTGACCTATCATCAAAAAAACCTTATAGGCCACCCACATACTGATTGTCAAATTATGGCCTACATTTTTCAGGATGTGCACTTTAGTGATGTCATTTGGCCTTGAAAATATATATCAAAAAAATCTTGAAGTAAAATGAGTGCAGGCTGAAACACTGAATAAAAAGCTATCAAATGGAATCTTATTGCAGTCATGCTTTACTGAAGCCCAGACAATGATAAGGGGTTTTCTTTTCTTGTCACAGATTCTGTGCGCTTTCTCTGAGCAATTCTGAATGGTGCCCCTGGGCTTAACTTGTGCAAATGGCAACACTTTTCTGGCTTCTTCAGGTCTGCAGAAGTTGCCTCAGTGTCAGTTCTCTTGCTTAATTACACTGCCTCATTCAGAGAAAATGCCCAATGTGCTCTGATATGCAAACAAAGAGCTTAATGAAAAATCCGGACAAGCTGTAGGAGTTACAGTTAGGCAGGCTAGTCTTGCCAGGACAAAATCAACATCTACTGTAAGAGCAATAAAATGCCACCTTAGAAAAGAACATGTTGACTTGGAAAGCTGGATCTTTACCAGATGACCTGTCAGCTTCACTGCTTGGCTTCTTTTCCTTCTTTTTCTTCTCTGTGTCTTTGGTATTTTGGCAGCTAACTTATCCTATCCTGGGAAACAGGCTTTTCATTCATGAGATGCCTCTAAATGTTGCTTTAGGAGGTTTATTGGTTGATATTAATCTTCTATATTGGTTGATGCCATTTTCTTGGGAAAAGTATTACCTGCAAGCAATGGCTGTATTCACTCTTGGTGGTTCACCTTGGATGTCTGTGGAGTCAGAATTAAGTCAACCTTTTCTCTTTCAAAATTGTAAATAATTCCTCTTACTGGCTTACACATAATTCCATATGTGTAAGCCAGTAAGAGGAATGGAGCACATTATTTTCTCTAGTTGCTATATTGATGGACAGCCTTCTATGATATCGGTTGCATATGCAATGAGGGATGCCAGTTTTGCAAGCATTTGCTACAGCCTTGTGTATATGAGTACAGTCCCATGCATGGGTTACAGGCTAAACCTGGTTTTCCTATAGCATGGGTGGGTATTTGTAAAATTTAGGACTATTTGACTGGAATTTATAAAGTGAAGGATGTAGCCTGACCTCTGCTGTGCAATTACAGAGCAAATCAGTCTTCTCTGTTCTTCAGTGAATCAGAACAATAATGCTGTTTTTACCTAATGAGAGCACTGAAAGGCTTAACTTATTAGGGATAGCACATGGCTAGTCCAATACATAAAACAGAGTTTCAAGTTGAAAACATTCTCTCTGAGTCTTGAATGTCTACCCAGGAAACGGTGGTATTTTCTAGAAAAACTGTCAGTGATACAAAACCGCAATTCTGCAGCAAAGGGCAGTGTTAATTGACATGGTAACTGAATGCAGTTTTGGCTAACTTGCCTCTCTTAGCTTATAGGAAGATAAAACATATAAGGATCATTTTTTCCACTTCTTAGTGCCAGAGTTCACGTTACATAAGAGGATATGGTAATGTAATGATAGACTGTGTGTGACTGTATTCTAGCTCCAGTGGCGCACAGTATTCTAGCTCCTTGATACAGGGCTCTGATGTTGTTACGAACAAATGTTTGAGATCACTTAAAAATCATTGGTGAGGGTATCATCAAAGCCAGATTTAATATTAAATGACATCACTACAAAGCTCATTGGCAAGATTCACTCAACTACTTACAGGACAGTTAGGGCACAGCAAAGAACAACAAAATCATACAAAATCCAAAATCAAAAGAGACATGATGGAGAATTCTCTAAGGATATGTATATGGCCAGGAGGTGGTTGTGTGGGTGTGTGTGGGGGTGTGTGTGTGGATATGTTTAGAAAAGATATGTGTGACAAAGGACAGTGAGGGCAAGGATAAAAAGGAACACAACCAAAAACCTTAACAGCACTCAAACTTAATAGTAATTTAACTTAACTTATACCTTAAACTTAATAATTTAAGGTTGTTGGAACCACAACTTAAATTATGCCTAACTTAAATGATACTTTAAACTTAATTTATAATGTAACTTTAATAATCTAACAGAAGAGTAGGTCTTAGTGGCATTTAACCTAATTTATAACTTCAAAGTTGTACTTAGCAATTTAGCAAAAGAGCAACACTTAGCAGCGTTTAAGTAAAGTTAAGTCTTAAGTCACAAGCTTACTTACAGGCCTAACTTACAGGGTACTTAAACATCTAAGAAAGC